GGTGTATCTCCCTGCGCGCGAGAATTTCACAGACGACCCCACATAACTTCGACTCGATTGAAAAGGCAAGCACGAGATCTACAGTTAGGTGTTAAAAAATAGGAAAAATATATGTCATTTTATAAACGACGGCGCTTATAAATTTGCTCGATTATAAGCCCACCCCCCTAAAAAAACTTGCTTTATTGTTGCCCCCCATGGGGGTATATCCGGGGTATGACAGTAGCTGCAATCTCATCTTACATAGTCAGCTGAGCATAGTGAAACCACTGCATTTGCAACCACAATACCTTGCAAGCAAAATACCGGTATAATGCCTCTTGCATGAGGCAAAAACATCATACGGTATCAGTAACATGGCACAGTAGTCAGGCAGCGTCCTATCCACTGTAGTGGTGGTCATACAATAATTGATACCGTAATAATTCTAAGAAGCGCAATCATGTACATTGTACAGTATGTTGGGCTACTTTTGAAAAGCTTATCCATAGCAAGACCTAGTCCGTGTAGTAGCGGCAGGGAGAATGGAGCGGTTCTAGTCAGTGTAAGTGATGTCTGCCTGACTCCTTAGGAATGCAGGCACCTGGTCAAAAGGAATGCCCTCCAGCCGAGACACCTGCAGCGCACCACCAAGCAAGCAGGCAAGGGAAGGAGGTATCCATGGAGGAGGGTGCAGGGAGGAAAGGACACATTCACATTTGTAGAGAGAGGAATGGAATGAGGAATGATAATGGTGTGAGGTATTACCTCAGAGCAGTAGAGTCACTGGTGGAATGAAGCTATGCTCCCCTAAATGAAGCACATAAAACCGCTAGCTGCACTTGCTAACTTCTGGCTCGTTTACTGACTGGACTCGTGTAACTCATGTTTGACCCACTCCCCTGTCTCACCTCCTCCTGATCCACATTCCACTTGAAGTCCTGCAGAGATAGATTTTAGAGGCGCCTAAAAATTCACCTCAACTCCTTTGACTGACTGGACTCGTGTGACTCGTGCTAAGAGTCCCTCCCGGCCTCACCTCCTCCTGCACCACGTTCCACTTGAAGTCCTGCAGAGACTTTTCCCCAAACTTGGCCCACGTCACACTCGCTGCCACCTGCAAACGACACATGGGCAGGCGGGAGGGGGGTGGGTATGGGATTTAAGAAGGGAGGGATACAGAAGCACAGTATTCTAGAGAGCAATGGTTCAGTGCAGTGCAGAATGGTAGCTCGCAGGATTCCCACGATAACTTCTGGCGCTCTTCCCGAAGTGTTACGAGCATTAGCTAGCCTTGCAACCAGCATTGCGTTCCAGCATTTGAGTCGTATGCCACAGACAGGAACACCCAAGGCATACACAACCCATCGTGAAAGCAGTAGGCGGAGCGGAGCGTGATGGTGGGCTAAAAGAGGAGGATGGATGAAGCACAGGACAAGAGCTGACCTGCCCAGCGTCTGGGAATTCACAGAAGTCAAGCATGGGGTTGGGGAGAGGGCTGACTGACCTTCTCAACGTCTGCATCAGAGGACGCCATGAGCGCTGCTTTAATCTGAGCGTCCAGCACATCGTTGCTCTTGCGCTCCTCCACTGCCCTTAGCTGCTGCTCTATCTCCGCCCTGCTCCATGCACATGCGCAGGTAGGCAGGGGCGTAGGGGCGCAGATCAGCTATGCACGGACAGACATGTGAGTCGACTCAAAAGCATGTGCGCAGGGAGGCATGCTATAGCAGAGCAGGGTGTGTGGAGCAGAGAATGTGGAGCAGAGAGAGTTGATGGCGCTGTACTGACCGCTGCACGTCAACCGGCCGAGGGTCCTTCTCAATCTCCTTCTTGATGCCAATCTCCTTCACTGTCACTGTGAACTGCGCCCTGATGGTGCACACAGAGACGAGACAGAGAGGAGACAGAGAGGAGACAGAGAGGAGAAAAAGGTAAGGTGAGAGGGGGAAAGACAGGTGGTGATGAGAAGCAGCTGTGGGAGGATGAGGGTAGACAGGGCACGACAGAATGGTGAGAAGAGCGCTGCTGATGAGAACGAGTGATCATCATGTGTCACAAATGGTTGTGCAGAGAGCAGGCTGAAATGCCAAGAGTAAAGAAATGTGTCAGGAAAAGCTGAGGAGTTAAAGCGCCAGGTGAAGCACAACGTGGCAGTGAGAAGGGGGGAATCGCAGTGGATGAGCGGTGGAGGGGGGGAGCAGTGAGCACGAACTTGACATTGGCGAGGGCCTTGGCCTTGTAGTCCGCTGGGAAGGTCAGCACGAACGACTTGCTCTCCTCCTGCCACACCACACCACACCACACCGTGCATGCGCCCATACATCCACAGGGGCGGCAAGATGCACACGTGGGATGACGGATGAAGGGTGACAGATGACGACAGGTGACAATGGGTGATGGGAATAGCGGGGAAACGGTAGAAGGGAACGATAGAAGGAGGGGTCGTTACAAGACGGATGGATGAGAAAATGGATGGCGAGAGAAGGGAAGGCAAGAAACTGGAGAAACAGCTGTTGAACCCTCTAAACCGATGAGTGTCTGCAGCCGTCTCCCTCACCTCTCCCACCCCGCCCCCACATCCTTGACCCATCTTCCCCCACCGCAGCAGGCCTTCCCCGTTCCCGCCCTGCCCGCTCGCACCCTCCCGCGCATCTGCACCATTGCCCACCCTCTCCCCCCTGACCTGCCCGGTCCCACGGCTGCGCGCACCTGCCCCATGCCCACAACCCCTTGCCCACAACCCCTTGCGCACCACCCCTCCGCGCACCTGCCCCATGCCCTGCTTGACGATCTGCTCGACGAACGTCTTCCACGGCTCGTCGTCGCGCGCTGCGAGGTGCAGCTCGTAACCCGCCGCCTTGGTGCCCTTCACCAGCTGCCCCGCCTGCGGCCCGTCCGCGTACTTGCCCTCGAAGTTGATCTTCACCTGCGCGCACCCACGTGGGCGATCAGGGGAAAAACCACGTGGGCAATTAGGAGAGAAACCACGCGGGCGATAACGTGGACGGTGATCCTAGGCGAAGGACAAGATCGTGCTGGGTGCTGATGAAAACGGGGCGAATGACGGCTTTCGGCGAGTTTCAGGTTTCGGGGCTTGTGGAACGGGGAGGGGGCAGACGAAAGAAGCAGATCATCCTAGCTTGCCCGTAACAAGGCAGGCGCAGGTCAAGATCCGGCCTGCTGCAGCACGCAGCACGCGGCACGTAGCACGTAGCAAGCAGCACGCACCGTGTGGCCGAGCTTGGCGCCCGAGCCGGTGAAGTTGGTGCGCTCGAACTCGTGCGTCTTCTCCAACTTGGCCTTCAGCGCCTGCGCGCACACAGACGGGACGCGGAGCGGCGGCGGGAAGGGCGGATGAGGGGCACGGGGGCCAAGAGCGATACACGCGGAAAAAGCGGAGGTAAATGATTCTGTCTTGCTCGAGAGATCTACCAATTTACAGTGAAGTGCTGAAATCAAACCACAGCAAACAAACGAACGAAACGTGGAGCGCTGAGGGTAGAGAGCGGAAGGAAGCGCGGGCACGAAGCAGATGAGGAGAGGCGCTCACCTTGTCGACTGCCTCTTGGGACACCTGCGAGGAACGGAGCAGACACGACACGAGCGGAGCAGCACAGGGAAGTAAGAAAGGTTATGAGCGCGTCGCTACCACGTTTGAGATTTCTCAGAAGCGACCGCGGCGAAAGCGAGGAGCTACTGTGAAGAGTTCCGACAAGGCGAAAGCGGAAAGGAAGACGCGAGGTCCTGCGGGGCAGTAAGCAATGAAATTGACGGTACCTTGGGGCGGGGCCCAGTGGCCTTGATGGCCTTGTTGGTGTACGGGCCCAGCGTCACCTTCACCTTCTGCTCCGTGCGCAGCTCCTGCGCCACCACGCGCACTGCGCCCCCCGCCGACCGCCGTTGCCCCGCCTTGCGCACCGCGGGGAAGAGAGCCTGCGGTGAGCAGGAGAGACGGGCGGAAACAGTGAGACAAAACGGGATGGGATGGAAGCAGGAAACGCGGCACTTCGCACGAGAGAATGCGGGGAAGATAAAAAGGGAAGGATTAAGCGTCCTCGCAGAAGAGAAATGGTTGGGATAGTGCGTGATGAGGGGAATGTGACTCACTCGGGAGCTCTGAGTGAGCTCGCACGACTGGGAGAAGGACACGCTGCGAGCGCCAGCCACAGATGCGCTGTGCGAAGATTGCCGCAGCGAGGGGCCGGTGACTCCCTGCGAAGCGACAGCGCGCTCCGCAACGGAAGCAATCATTCTCGTGGCAGCCATGGCGGATGCAATGGGATGACAAAGCAAAAAGTGAAGTTTGGGAACTAACTTCGGAGGCGGAGAATGAGAGACCACCACAGTATGCTGTGGATATGGACGTGTTATGGGCCAACATCACTGGCATGCAACATGGCTGAATAACGGCGAAATCGCGCGCATCGGCGAAAATCGTGTTTGTCTCAATTGAGTCGACCTAAATTGCTCCCCGCTCGCCACGTGGGCGTTTTTCTAAATTGAATGGACCTCCCTTCCCCAAGCCCCCCCAGCCCCCTTTTCCCGCCCTTTCCCCACCGTCATTCGGGCAGCCGCATGCTCTCGCGTGAACTTCGGAATTGCCACAAGCAGTCACGAAAAGCAACCAACCAACCCCATGCCACGTGTAATTGAACGTGCAGGCAGCCACATCATTTGTCCCAGCAATTTTTTTGTATTTTTCTGGGCCATGTATTATAACTCGAGAGGCTTATATACAGGTTGATTGTACTGTGTCCTTCGGGATCTGGCCATGTCATTTCCGGCCTTCACGGTTTCATGATCGAAGCATTCGTGATCCTCAACGGTTCATGAACCCTTCCGTTAGCATCATGTTCCTGTGAAGCTTAGGCGAGTCTCCCGTTTTACAATACCGGGTAGACACTCAACGCAGTCATTACTTTGGGCAACTCATATCCGGGCCCGCATTAGTACTCCACTCAATAGTCATAGCTTATCTCTGACAAAACTGGTCACCATGTAGCGTCTAACGCGGGCGTATGGCCTCTAATCCCTTAGCGCAGGCCTTGCGACAGCTTAATGCGGCTCCCGAGTTCAACCCTAGGTACGACAGGCCTAATGATTACGCTCCATTGGAGCTGGGGGGCCTGTACTCTAGCCGTGATAAATGCAAGGAGGCCGTTTATGCGTACGCTCTAGAGCATTGGTTTGGTGTAAAAGTCCTTTTAGTGAAGCATAACTACGCAGTGGTTGGATGCAAGGCTTCATCGGACGGATGGTTACCCGCGTGCCTATGGAGCTGCACATATGGGCGAATCGGCCACGGTGGTTTATGGCGTATTACGCGACTCGTTTCTCCGGAGATGCATGCGTGTCCGTTGCATTGGAGGCAGGGTTACGCCGAGGGGTTAGCCAACACTATTCCCATCCTCGCTCGGCGATACGGCAATTTGGTCCGTGCAAATCCTTTCATCTCACCCGTGGAGCTCAAAAGAATGCTCGAGGGTCATGGAAAGGTAGTGATCCACTACTGGCAGGCTTGGCGGCTTCGAGAGTACATCTTAAAGGAGCGATATGGAGATTGGAAGGAGTCCTTTCGCCAGGTTCCGTGGCTTCTCACTCGTTTCACAGTCATCGATCCGGAAGTTCAAGTGCGGTTGGACACATTAGATCGGTGTTTCCACCGATTCTACGTGCGTCCCTCTGCAGCACGGCATGCGTTAAATTATTGCCGCCTGGTTGTTGCGCTCGACGGTACACATCTCATTAGTGCGCAGAAGGCTGTGCTGCTCATCGCCGTCACCATTGACGGGAACCAGGAGATTTTGTTACTTGCATGGGCCTTGGTGGAGTCGGAGAACAAGGACGCGTGGACCTGGTTTCTGAAGCTGTTCCTTGAGGGGTTCCCGGAGTGGGCGCGTAGGGACGATGCCTCCATCATCAGCGATCGCGATAAGGGGTTGGTGCCGGCAGCAAGGGAGGTGATGCCAAGCCACATCCCCCATTATTTCTGTGCCTGGCATCTGGAGCAGAACCTTAAGCGGTTCGGCAAAGCGGCAACAGCGTTCTTCTGGCGCTTGGTGAAGTGTCGGTCTGAAACGAAATGGGTTGCGCTTGTCGGGGCCGCACGACGAGATTTTCCTGACATGGCCGCATATCTGTTCGGGCCTGTCCGGCAGCAGCCACAGCCACAACCCCACCCGGCTCCTCAGGTCCCCCCTCCTGGAGCCCGGGCAACATTTGAGGGGGCCAGGGATTTCGTGTTCGCGGATGCTCGCGAAGGGAGGAGGGCACAGCGAGGGCAGGAGCGTGGTGGCAACGCGGGAAATGGTGGCGTCGACACCGCGCCCCAACCCGAAGGGAGTGGGTTCCCGGAGGGCAACACGTCCGCGTACAACAGGCGTGGCGGCGGTCTGGCTGGCAGGGGGGGGATGAACGCACCTGGAAGACGGGCCAGAGCGCACGAGGGTATTGGAGTCCCATCAGGGATACCAGACGAAGGGGATGGCGGAGCAGCTGCTTTTGGCATCGGCCGTGGAGGGCGAGGACGAGCTTCATCTGGACGTGGTCGCAGAGGGAGAGGCGGTGGCGTTGCAGGGGCGGGCCTTGGCAGGGGAGGTAGAGGAGTGCCCCCCGCGGGCGATTGCGGAGGGCAGGGGGGTGCCGGATCAGACTTCACGGGGGTTGGTGGTGGAGTACGGGAAGTGCCGCTCGGTGGGGCCGCCGGGGAGCAGGGGGATGCCGGCACGGGATGGTCCGGCATTGCAGGTGGAGGGAGGGGAGTCCCGCTTGCTGGGGCTCCTGGAGGGCAGGGGGGTGCCGGAGCAGGATGGTCCGGCATTGGAGGTGGAGGGAGGGGAGTCCCGCTTGGTGGGGCTCCTGGAGGGCAGATGGGGGCCGGAGCAGGATGGTCCGGCATTGGAGGTGGAGGGAGGGAAGTCCCGCTTGGTGGGACTCCTGGAGGGCAGGGGGGTGCAGGAGCAGGATGGTCCAGCATTGGAGGTGGAGGGAGGGGAGTCCCGCTTGGTGGGGCTCCTTGAGGGCAGGGGGGTGCCGGAGCAGGATGGTCCGGCATTGGAGGTGGAGGGAGGGGAGTCCCGCTTGGTGGGGCTCCTGGAGGGCAGATGGGGGCCGGAGCAGGATGGTCAGGCATTGGAGGTGTAGGGAGAGGAGTCCCGCTTGGTGATGCTTCTGGAGGGCGAGGACGCACCGAAGCAAGATGGTCAGGCATTGGGAGTGCGGATGGGGGGGAGCCGTTGTTCGGCCCTGGAGCAAGAGATAGTGTATATGCTGCGAGCGGTGAATTGGTAGGGTCTTGGCCCAGTCCTCAGATTGCAGGACCCAGGCGACACCAAAGCGGGCCACGCGGTGATGTTACGTTTGGGGTTGGCCTGGGCGCGAATTTCATGGGTGGGGTGGGGTCCGTTGGAAGGGGGGGCTCACCAGTGCCCTCTGGGGGCGACGTGCAGCGAGCTCCAGCATCTGTGCGTGATAATGGTTTGGCATCATGCTTCACGGGTGATGGGATAGGCGCTCTCACCACTGTGGGGAACCTGGGTGCACGAGCATTTGACGTCAACACGGTCCTGCGACGTGCCCGGGAGTGGTACCGGGCAGAGGACATTGACACGGGGAGGACCACGGGCACTCAGGGATCAGAGATGGGTGGGTTTACTGAGCACTTCCACCCAGCATCGGCTCTTGCTCTGCCATGGCCAGACTGCGGGCAGCGGGAGAACATTCCTGCGCAAGGGCCGGACGAGCCAGCATGTGAGGATGATCCGGTGCCAGTGGATGCTAGGGAGGATGGGGATGAGGCGGCCGATGGTGAGGGAGAACCCGGAATACATGTGCGCACCGGGTTCTATCGTAACAGGCGCGGATCATCTTATCGCATAGGGGGAATCATGCTGCTGCACTGGGCCCGTCTTTTTGCGGTGACACTGCGTTTTGGCATCTACACAAGCAACGCCGCCGAGTCCATCAACAGCGCTGTCCGCGGCATCCGAATGCTGCCACCAACATGGCTGCTAGCATCCCTTTGGGATTGGTCTCGCGACAAGTGGTACAAGAGGAAGGAGAAGGCGCGCTGCAGGGATGAGTATCTCACGGCTGCCGCAGCGAAACGACTGGACCAAAAGAAGCAGAGGTGCCAGGGGTATTGGTTCATCGGTGGGGACAACTCTGTGGGAACCATCCAGACCAGGGGGGGGGAAAACGAGTTCCAGTGGCGGAGCTTCAACGTGAACCTCGATGCCCGGACGTGCGAGTGCGGGAACTGGGAGGAGTACCAGTTCCCTTGTGCCCACGCCGTGGCAATGTGCATTCTGAAGCAGCGGAGTGTGGAGATCCTTGTGTCTGAGTACTACACCACTCGCAATCTTCGCCAGACATACAACCGGGATGTGATGGGTACCTGTGTGGACCGGCTGATTATGGAGGCTCCACTGGCAGAAGTGGGCGAGTGCGATGCACCAGCGCTGATTGAGACGAGGGTTGGGAGGCCAGAGAATCACACCCGGTTCGAGGCACCGCCGCACGCTTATCGGTGTGGGCGACGCCGACAGTATGGGCACAACCGCAAAAGGTGCAAGTACAAGTACGGTGGGTACGGTCAGGCGCAGGCTGCGGTGGGGGAGGAGGTGGAGGAGGAGGAGGAGGAGGAGGAGGAGGAGGAGGAGGAGGAGGAGGAGGAGGGGGAGGATGGAACTGGTACAGGAGAGCATGGAGGGGGGCACCAGGCTGCCCCTGAATGAATGGCGAGTAAAACAGGCTTTCCCATGCGAGTATTGGGCCTTGTTTTGTGTCCTTGGATCCCTGCCGAAGCATACTTTTCAGTGACGAGAGTACTGAATGATTTAATTCACGAAACATAATAGTTCGTTTGAGTAGTGCTGCTGTGCAATACTTATTCAACAAGACCCAAACAAATCAGGCCACGAGTTGGGCGATTCACGTGTGTAAAGTGTGCACTTGACTGCGTCTGCTTTCTCCATCACCTGTGCATAGAGCGTCATGATCGACCCTTGTACATGCATGATTCGAGGGCCGGGAAATCGCGGGGCGATGCCGCGCAGCTGTTCATGACGAATCATGTATGTTTCATAGTGCGTGAACGCATCTCGACCTGTCATGATTCGAACAGCTAACAAGCGCGGGGCCTAGAAGTCGCGCGTGAATGCCTACACTTTGAATCATGAACAAACTCGTGGGAGTGGCTCGGAAGTTGACTACCTGCACGGACGAACATGAACTCTCATGGACGTGATGCCTGCAACATGATTCGTCGTCGAGGTTGACCCTAATTTGCGCGAAGGAACATGAACCGAGAATGGCCCCTTTATTGCGTGTCATTCGATGTGCGTATTCGTTGTGACGGTTTTGTGGAAAATTAAACGCCCTCAATCTCTAATAAAATATGGCGTGCACAATGCCACCGGTATAATTAACACTCCTAACATTGACTACATGTTAACACGCAACTGTGGCGCCCAGAAAAACACCATAGCAACAAATCTGATCCCACAGCAGCCACGATACTTACAGCACGCACCCCATAACTCTGGTAAAAAAACAGCACTACGTTACATGGAGCATGAGATTTGCTACTATTGTCATTGTTCATAATTTCCTCAGGATCACCTCAGTAAGGTAGACACTGGCGTACCACTGACCAGGAGATGATGCTAGTCCAAAGCACACCACTGACCATGATGTGATGAGCCCTTGAGCTCAAGGGCTGAATGCAAAACTTTGATTAAGGCTCCCAATCGCACACCACAGACCCCGAGGCGGGGTACTATGCGTACTCGGGACAACAAGTGAAAAAATAGTGTTTTACGAAAACTCAGTTGTACAATGTTACTCTCTGTAAGCAAGTGTCTTGCGCCGGGGTTGTGGAACACGGCATTATCAATTCTGTGAGACCTTAGACACCGTTTATGGCCCCTAAACCCGTGTTCATGGCCGTTGTCACTGTTTGAGTTGTTTCCTCTGCATTTCTACAACCGAAATAAAAAGTGTTGCAGACGCCGTTATAAAAAGCCACGATTTGTCACTGGTACCCGGTCGTTATAGCTTATCGGGTCGCGCAGTCGGGGGGTGATAATTCGTGGTGGTGTGGCGTGCGGAACCACCACGCGTCATGAAAAATCGCGCATGACTATCGACGAGTTCATGATGGTCTGTGGTGTCATGATCGTAGGCCGTACTCCCATGTCACCACACATTGGGCCGGCTGGTGAGCTGGTGCGCTATCGTTTGGGTTTGTTGCCGCCAGGTTGGGGTCTTTAGTGAACTCAAAAACAAGGCTGACAGCCAGCAGTTCAACATATTGTTAATGCTACAGTCCTACAAACCCCGCAAAGAGCAACAAAGGCCATAGTGCGAAAAACAGCATGGTGTTCATGAAAATCAGCTCCAAGGAAAAGAGATTACACGCCGATATGACGCATTGGATCATCGTCACACGTTCCTCAGCTGTTGGACCCTGACACACTGAAGACGAGAACAGCAGGTTAATGTCTAAACCCTGGCTAGTGCGCACCCTGATGCATAACAACACCCCGCTTGGTCTAATCAATACCTGGCGGGTGGGATGTCGCGTTGTTGCCCACATCCCCCTCGTCGCTCTCTGGCAACGACAGCGAGGCAAACGCCACCACATCGGCCTGCACAGGGGGGTTGGTCAATGTGGCTTGCGTAGAATGGGCTGGTGGGGCGGGAGTAACCCCCGCAGGCACAGGAGTTGTTGCGACGTGCACAGCAGTAGCTCCACCGGGAGGGGTGGGCTGTGCAGGTGCAAGAGCCACGGGGGGGGGGGGTGCAGGGGCGGGGTTGGCACCACCGAGGGAAGCAAGCTCGACGCGCCACCTTTCCCACCGCCCCCAGACGCGTGCGGTAGTGAGCTGCCGCACGATGTCGGCCGTGCAGCCATCCAACAGGTCCATCTCCTCGCCGGTGAGCTGCCACACACGACCCCGGGGAGGCTTGCTCCGCCTGAGCACGGCTGCAGCTGCAGCGAACGCGCGGGCGGCTTGCTGCTGGTCTTGGAAGTGGCCAAGAATCAGCGTCCTTGATGACCCGGGCTCAGGGACAATCTTCACTTGCCAAGTTCCGTCTGGGAGGCGCCTAACACCCGCGTACTCCCCCGATCCAACCACTCCCCCGACAGAGTATGATGGCGGTGGCGGCGGGCCCATACACCCAGAGTGATCCTCCAAAGGGGCAGGCAGAGCTCCACCGCGCGCACCGCAACGAGACGAGGTCAATGCATCGCCGGTCGTACCGGGCATCAGCCCGTTGATAACGCCGTGGGCCGCTTGAATCTGATGAGAATCCCCTTGCTGCTCGAGTTGCGCAGTCGGCGCCAGAATTTGCTGGGTGGCAGGGTCGTCGGTTCTCGCGCTGGGTCCGCCCGCTCCTCCAATACGCCCCTGCTGCGGCGGTGCTGGTAAGGCTGCAACTTGCGCAGACAACGCGGTGAGCTCGTCGCGGGTGGTGGACAAGTCGTTGGTGAGACTCTCCACCAGGAGCTCGAGCTTGGCGATGTCTTTCTCACAGTACCCCACGCGGCAGGTGATGTTGTGGATGTCGCCGACAGCATCACGCAGCTTCGCGTCGATTTCGGCCAGCTCCGGAGACACTGGCTTGTTCACGCGCTTGCTGAGCGGCGGATCTTGGTGGGGCACCATAACTCCAGACCTCTCCAGGGTTGGGATCAACCGCTTGAGTGCATGTTCGACTATGTCCGCACGCATCCCCCTCCAGAAAAGGCCACCACCATAGGGCAAGGCTGGCAGCCCATCGTCCAGATTAGCGAAGCCACGGGCAACCAGCTCAGATGCGTAGATGCAAACGTAGACACCACAGTCTACTTGGTTGGCCTGCATGGGGCATTGATAGTACTGCACACGCGAACACAAACAAGGTGAGCAACATTGATGGACGTTCCATGGATGAGGTCTGTTAAAAAAAAGCTGCGCGAAAGATTTGAGTGCTTACCCCAAGCGGGACGCAAGGCATCCGATCAAGCCGCTGCTTGATTGCGGTGGCAGAGAGGCCGGGCTCCTCGGCTTGTAGCGCCAGACCGAGCAGCCTGGACACAGCAACAATGCATGCATTAGTGCATTACAAGCGGCGAAGCAACCATGCGATCATAAGCACGACGAAACTTAGGAGGCGATGCATGCCCGTGCAACTTACGTTTGGATCTCGGCGAACACCGACAGAGCCATGTTCCGATGATCACCAGTCGAGTCGAACAGGTAGGCCACCGGAAGCTCCATGTTCCCCGATTTTATAGCAGTTGTTCTTGCCCTGCCAGGCTCCTTGACAACAACAAGGCTGAAATGCCTTGGCTCACTGGCACAATACCAACGTAAATGTAAGTACACAGCATGGCGATGCCGCGGTACGCGCGTACATCGAGATTGTGCATGCATGTCTTACAGTGTAGTAACAACTACAAGGACGTAGTTGTAGTCAAGGATGGTGCCGCCCTCGAATCCAGAGAAGAGAACCTGTTGATTCGCCGCCATCAGATACGCTCCAGTGTCAAGCGCAACCCATGTCTCCCCGCTTGGTGTTTTGGAATGCCTGATGCTCAGCAAACTGCGCGGGGTGAATACACAGACACGGAGAGCCGGTGTTAGGCGCCGGCAGTATAGTGTGAGTGTGCTTACCCGCGGGAACAACGCACTCACATGTTGTGGAAGTCGATTAACGCCGTGCTGAGCTCGTATCCATCCTGAATGCGCATCGCGTCGAGAGGGCTCACGAAGGCGTTTTGGCCGAGGGCGTTGTACAACGACTTCGTTGGGAAGTGCTGACTCTTGATGGTAGGGCCGCGACAGCCTTTAGTTTGAGCTGGCGGCCCACGACCTTTGGTGAAGGCGGTGATGATGTCATAGACGGGCGGCAACACCTCCTTGTTCACTATGTTGGTTTTGAAGTTGAAGCCACCGGTGCTATGCTGCTTCTCCGGTCCTTTCCGTTGCTTCCCCTTTCTCCTGCCTTTCCCGTGCTCGTCGGTGACGAGCTTGACGTCCGAATCGTGCGATTCACCGCCGTCGGATTCCTCGTGGCCCGACTCATCCTGCCGTTTACCGAGGACCGTTTTGCTACGAAGATCCATCACACGCCCAGAACGCTAAACGCCACCGAATAGCTGGCAATTTGCAATGACTAAGGTATCGCGAGTACAAGAAACAAACCACAAAGAGCACAAAGGTTGGATGATTGGTGATAGCTATCACAAAGGGAAAGGGTACGAGAGAGGGGAGCCGTGACGGTCGTGATGTGGCATGAAAGCTCATGTTCAGAGGTTGGCGGCGAGGATAAGTTTCATGAACGCAGGATTAGGTTCATGTACGCTGTCAAATCCGCCCTCGGCTATAGGTCAGAACTCATGCTCGAGCATGACCGTCGATTGGTCGCCTGGTTGTACATTACCGTACATGATCGGTATCGAGGTACCACTCCATGTCGTTGTTACACTACCTATAACGTTGGCGCGTCCAAACGGAGCCAGTGCATGTTACTCTGGCGCGCTGAACAAATCACCAATTTTTCGACCAATAAGAACAACCACCCGTGGCGAAAGTGTGGCGGAACCCTGGAATTTGGAAATGGTGACTCTTTGTGAGTTTTACGCGAGAGCATGCGGCTGCCCGAATGACGGTGGGGAAAGGGCGGGAAAAGGGGGCTGGGGGGGCGGGGGGAAGGGAGGTCCATTCAATTTAGAGAAACGCCCACGTGGCGAGCGGTGAGCAATTTAGGTCGACTCAATTGAGACAAACACGATTTTTGCCGATGCGCGCGATTTCGCCCTGAATAACCCTATGCCATTGTATGCAAAACCGTCGATACCTCGGTTTTAGAGGTATTGACATATTGCGCTAGTATCTAGGTTCTTCTGAAAGGACAACCTGATTTCTACCACGCTTATCTTTCCGCTAAACTTCGATTTATTCGGGCGACTGTTTTGCCAGATGAGCAACACTGCTCACTTCTTTTGACAGAAAAATAAAACCCAATCGGAAAGGGATGCACACGAGGAGGCATCAACCCTAAAAACAATGCCCTTTCCCGTTTTTAGGGTTGATCCCTCCCTGAAATGAGTTCAGGTCCCTAGGGGCTATGTATTTTATCCTGACTGCCCTTGCAGTAACCGGTAGCAATATACTGGGTGCAATATATTGTTATGAAATAGACCCCGTTAACTTCCATTCTAACGGATTTTCCTGCTAAATTATCGTGCAAAATAGTTGCCCGCAGGAATCTTTGTTAGGCGCTGAACAAAGCGCGGCAAAAAACGTTTGAAACGAAATTGAAAACACATTCGATTATTGCACCCATTGCACGCTTTTTGTGCTGCGACAGCTGTTACACAGTGTTTTGAGTGGCACTAACAGACAAATTTGCGAAGCGGAACTGGGGTATCGACGGTTTTGCATACCATCGAATAGGGTTACCAGACTAATCTGCATGTCTATGATGTTGGCCCACGTGTTATCGTTCCTTTTGGTGGACCTACGCTGACGTGGCAAACATTCATTGACCCAGCCGACAAATCGTCCGACTTGGACAGCCTCAAGGCTGGTTCGGCCCGGTTCATGGGCCAAGCTGGTGGCCTGCTTGGTTAGCTGCCCAAATGCCATTCGGCCCTGGGATTTTCACTACAGTAGGCTGAAATTCTTATCCAGGCGAAATCGGTTTCGCGTGCATGCACTAATGCTGGCGGCCATGACGAAAATAGACGTAACTGCAACAGCGTTACACAGGCAAAAAGTTCTTAGTGTTTCCACGTCAACATGTGGAGCCAGAATGCGATTCGCACTTTGTTCAAAGCTCGTCACCCGAGACAGGTTCCGCGTCATTGTGCAATAGAGTCTTCGTGAAGCGACACGTGAGCACTTTCCAGCACACACAGTTGAAACCAGGATTTGCTCGAGAAAACAGAAGTTTCTGTACCACAGCGCCCTACTTCAACTGTACCCTCGTCCCTCGTTAGTGTCTCACTGAACCTAGAATAGAGTCACACCCGCCAGGTCTTTCTTGAATGTAGCTTTGATTGTTCGCCGAGTACTGCGAGAACCGTGCGCGACGAGGCCGGCAAGTGCTTATTTGCGAGAACAATTTTGAGGCGGTACTTTGAGAGCTGTCCATCCAATTCGTCAATTCCGCCATGTCCTGCCCGTTTCTCGCGGCGGCTGCAGCTTCTGGCGAGGCTAACGACGCGAGTCGCCCCGCCGGAGGCTGTCCTTTCGCGAAGCGTTTCGGTCTCCTTGGCTCATCTCCAAGCGACCCAGCGACGCAGCGAGATTTGCCTGTTGCAGCAGCGGCAGCAGCAGACGGCACAGGCGAAAAACACGAATCCGGACCACGAAATTCTGTTCCAGACGTGGTTGAAGGACGAGCGGACCGCAGCGGTGCTGAGGATGGGGGGAAGGCGGCCGGGGAAACCGGGGGGGAGAGCGGGCGGAAGGCTGCCGCGGGGCGGTGTCCGTACGGGTTCGACTCCGCAGCGGATGGGCGCATGGCGGCGGCTGTGGGGCCGATGAGTTGCGTGCTTTGCAAGGCGTTGCTGTTCGACCCCGCCCGCTGCGACCCGTGCAAACACGTGTACTGCAGGTGCGGGGTGTTGGGTTGGGGGAGAAGTGAAAGAGAGGAAGAGCGAGCGAGAGAAAGCGAGACAGGGGAGAGGTAATCGTTTTTTGCTACGAAAACCAGTCTTTTTCCTATGGCTTCCCTAGCGCGGCGATTCTCGTGGTGTTTCCACGTGTCTGATCGATTCCTTCACTTGTTGTACTCGTGCCTTGCTCGCCCTCATAGAGAACACGCCCATGCCCACCCTCGCACCCCCATTCCTCTCTTTCTCCTCTATGCGTCGACAACCCTTCTTTCTTCTCACTCCCTCCCCCCACACACTCTCTCCCTTCTACACTTCTCCCCTTCTCCTCCCCGCGCTGTCCCCCCCCCCTCCGTTCCCGCCGCCCCGTCCCCCCCGCCCCGTCCCCCCCGCTCCGTCCCCCCTGCTCCGTCTCCCCCGCTCCTTCCCCCCACGGGCAGGGGGTGCATAGCGCGGTTCACAGACTGTCCGCTGTGCGGGTGCGACGTGAAGGCTCTTCTTCCTGATGCAACGCTCACACATGCCGTGGACGCGTTCATCTCCGCGCACGTGCTGCACCGCCCTGCCCTGCTCCCCCCGTCACTGGCCGCACCACGCTCTGAGCCGCCTCCCAACGCGCTAGATGCTGCTGCTTCTGCTGCGGATTTGTCCGGCAAAGATGCTTCAGCAGCAGCAGCAGCAGCAGCAGCAGCAGCAGCAGCAGCAGCAGCAGCCACAGCAGCAGCAGAGCGGGAGGCAGAGGCAGCGAGAGTGGAGACAGAGGCACTGGATCTAGACAAGGCCAGCCCGGGCAGCTTCCTCTTCATCCACGCCATGCGGGTACGATGCCGCTGCTGCTGCCCGCTGCTGGGCGCTGCTGGGTGCAACGAACGAGGGTACAAGGGGGTGAAAGGGGCACAGGAGAAGAGGTGATGTTGGAGAGGTGGGAAGGGAGCGGGGGAAAGGTTGAAGGGATGGGGAAATTAGGGAGGGATGGAGCAATAGATGTGGGAACGCCCAGTCTTGCGGCTGATGGTGTGGTTGTAGCCTTTTTTTACATGCCGCAAAAATCGTCTGTCTACGTACCTGAGTTCAATTCAATCTCTATCCTAGTGGTCAGGCTCTAGTCTCTCTTTTATCAAACACTCCAGCGCTTGCTATTTGCATGGTATCAGTCCTCGCTCTCCCTCTCGTCCCTCTGCCGCTGAAGCCTGAACCATCCCACCTCATGACCCGCCCTCTCATCTTCCCCATACGGCACCCACCAGGCCATGCAGCACGGTAACCTGCCCAGTGCGCGAGCTCGCTTCGCCCTCTCCGCCTTCTCGCTCAAGTCGTTTCTTTCCCCAGGCAATGCTGCCTCGGTTTCTGCTACTGCTGATGCTGCTGCTGATGCTGCTCGTGGTGTCAGCAGCAGCAGCTCCGCTGGTGATGCGAGAAAAAACGAGCCTCGGGAATCAGCCAGTATCGTTGCAGACTCACCAGTGCTAAAACCAGCTGCAGCAGCAGCAGCAGCAGGCGGAGTGGAGCGGTCAGAAGCACAGCGGCGTGCAGCGGTGTCACGACTGGGGGCAGTGCTTGGCTCCCATGCCGACTGCTGGTGCGTGCCTTGCCACCCGCCTCTCCCTCTCTCCGCTCACACACCATTTCTCATCTCCAACTCGTCTTCCTTTTCCCCATTCTAGTCCCTCCCTTGCCTTTTTTTATTGCTGCTAGGAACTGTTTCTTGCTCTGATCATCGTATTCCCCTCCTGCCTTCCCTCTGCCCGGCCAAACGGCCATGCCCCGCCAGTCTGCTCATGTCTGACGTGGCATCGGCGGCCAGCAGCTACCAGGAGGCTGTCGATGTGCTCTCTGCTGCGCTGCCTGCGCTGGGCAAAGGCGAGACTGAGGGCGAGGGCGAGCGAGCAGTGGAGGAGGGGCAGCAGCAGGGCCTGGAGATGCATGGTGGTGGGGACTCTGACAGTGGTGCTGTTGATGACGAGGTGGGTGCTTGGACAGTGCTGGTGCGTTTACAATGAGAAAACTTATATTCACAAATCAGGCTTGATTGTTCTGGAGTTGCCATTGAGAAGTGGTTTGTCTTTTACTCAACCAGTAGTTTTGCTATCCCTCCACTGCCGCCCTGCCCTTGTGCTGGCATGCTCCTCATCATGCCACCTCTGGCATCAAAATGTGTTTCTGTCGTATCTTAATAACATCCTACCTTTCGATCATGCCACCGCAAGCAACCTCCACTGTCCACTCCGCCCCACCTCGTCTATGCCAGCTGCACCATGCGCTCTGTGTGACCCTCAACAAGTTGGGAGACCTGCACTACCGCTCCGACCACCTGCCTGAAGCTCTTGCTCTCTACCAGAGGGCTCTTGCGCGCAGGCAGCATGCACTGGCACGCACTGAGGCATGCGCCCAGGCATGCGAGGGGGAGGGTGCAGTGAGGGAGACGGCCAGCAAGGTTCGTTGTGGCTTTGGCGTTGATTGCCTTGCGTTGGTTCTTGGTTGCAAGGTTGCTTTGAGGGCCGTGTCTTGATTGCTGTTGTGCCCGGTGTTTATGGCTGGTATGCCTTAACTATTTCAGACCCATAAGCAGCTCGCATGACATCTCATCTTTTACTGCCGTCTCAGCAATTCTTCACCCCCTCCCCTTTACACTGCCACTCTTCCCTCCCCTCTTTTCTCATCTCCCTGTCATCTTCCGAACAAACTTTTTCCCCTTCCCTCCCTCCCTCCCGTCCTGTCTCCCACCCCCCCTCCTTCCCACCCTCCCTCTCTCCCTCTCTCCTCCTATCACACACCCCCTGCAGGCATTAGACGTGGCAGTGTCAACAGCCAAGGTGGCGGACGTGCAGCAGGCGCTGGGGGAGGAGGAGAGTGCGAGGGAGGGCTTCTCACGCGCACTGCGCCTCGTGCAGGCCGCCAAAGAGACCCTCAGTGCCGCTGCTGCCGGACAGGGGGACTGCTTGGCCCTGCTGGATAAGGTCAGGAATGGCGAGGCGAGAGGTATGGGGTGTGGGTTGTGGCTGGATTGTGTTTAAGGGTTGTTGTTGGGGTGTGGGGTGTGGGGTGTGGGGTGTATGTATGCATGGAATGGGGAGTGCTGGGATGAGTGGGGTTATGGCACAGCTAGCCACATTCTGGTGTTTCTCTTTGTGGATTCCTTGGTTGCAGGTGGAGGCCACACAGGCCTTCCTGCAACAGCAGCTGGTGGCAGCATCAGGAGCAATAGGAGCAGCAGCAGCAGGGACTGCAGAAGGAGAGGCAGATGCTAAGAAATGACTTGAGAAGAACGCCTGACATGCTGCCTGTCACTGAACCAAGTGCTTTTGCCTAGACCTTAGAACATTTTCACCCACCGTTCCAGCAGCAAGCCGCCAGCAGCTTGTTGATAGACATCTGTTATCAGGATGAAATCGGAACAAAGGGTCGGTCTTCTTAACTGTTGAATTAGCATGCCATGAGCAGCACTTAAACACACTGACCACCTAAACTATTGTGGCACATATGTATACTTTAAACCTTAGTCTGTACGCTAAATGAGATGGCTCATCTTCCTAGCCTACCTGATCTCGGCCCATCAACTGCTAGGAGGAGAGGTGCCTATCAAGTGAACGCAGTCAATCCTCTCCGCCAGTTGCAGAACACCCCTGCACGCCTCCTGTTCCCACAACTTCCCTCCCACGGCCTCATCCCGTGCATACACCGCCAAGCCCCACGTGAAGCTCTTGGCTCGGGCAGGCGAGAAGTTCTCCCCCACCGACACACAGCCCGCTGCTGCACCACCAACAGCCTTGAGCTGGGCCACTGCTGCTGCTATAGCGTCAGGTGATGCGGACTGCTGCCATTGGATCATGGCGGTGTGGACAGAGCCATGTGGGGGCGGAGCGGAGGAGGCCGAGGCATCCGAGACGTCGGTTTCCCAATCGACGGCTGCGATGTCACTGATGATGGGCTTGACGTTCTCTGTCACCACGGCCACGTGCTGTGGCGACACCGCGTATTGTTCCAGCGCGTCGCGCGACTCGTACCGCCCGAACAGCGCGTGCGTCCACGGGATAGCGGAGGGCGCGGCGGCGGAAGACGCGCCGGCGGGCGCGGCGGGGACGGCGGGAAGAGCGGGTCCCGCGGAGAGGTAGAGCACGCCTGGGAGGGTACGCAGCGCGTTGAGGTTGGTGAGGAAGGTAGCGACGCGATCAGCGGGGGTGTCTGGCTTGACCTGAGGCGCGACGGAGAGATGTGGGAAATGTGTGGGAGTACGGGACGAAACGGGTATGAAAGGTTATGGGAGGTGGGGGGGAGGGTGGTGTTAACAGAAACGGGTAATCCGGTAACGTCGAGAGTTTGGAATGGCATGCGCTTAGGATTTTCCTGGTTTCGCGAAGCACTCGGAGCTGTGAGCAGCACTTTGACGCTTGCGTTCTCACCTGGAAGAAGACGAGATGCTCCACTACGGGCCGTGCAGCCGCCATGGGTCGAGATTGAAATCAAGCAATTCTCGATGCAGTGCGGCAGCTGCGGAAGCACGCGACGTGGGCCGTGCAGGTCCGCAGGTGCACGTACCGCAAGTTGCGGTGACGATGGGTTCGGAAAGATGGCTGCTTTCCAGGCTTCAACGGTCCCACCCTTCTGATATGCCTGTAGCTGTGAATCTGGCTTTCACCTGAATCTGGGTAGCGCGAAAGAAGACGGTTACCTTGTATAGATGCTACCACTCGCGCCTGGTTTGGGAGGCAGCACGGTCGGAATCACGAATTCCACTGTGGTGAGCATTCTCGCAAATTTCGTCCATCGCCATCACGGCACATTCTGCCCAGACATTTCAGTGGGATGGCATCGTACGAACTCTCCTTGAATTCGTCACATTCCACGTGGCCCGACCCAAAACTGCTGCCATTCGTCGAACCTCGTTCGGTTTGGTTTGCCTGACACAGGCTGACACGAGGGTGGAGTGTGTGTTTTCAGGCCAACTTCAAACTCTAAAACGGTTGAGAGGGATAAAGTGCGATTCAAGAAACAAGCAGTGCGGTCCAGAACTTGGTGATGGTTGGAACAAGAGCGATTCACACGAGGACGGGCGTCGTCTCTGTCACTCCCTGCTGTGTCACTCGCCACACCACCATCACTCGGCAAAAGCAAACCCCCCTTCACCCACCTACCCACCACTGCGTTCCATTCTCACGTGTTCGCACGCGTTTAGTTGCTGCGAGTGACTCTGGCCCTTCCTAGGGATAGGCTCAGGTCGGATCTTCTCGCGACACGCCTGTGCGCGTCTTCCGCGTCGTCCTGCCCATCCGCCTACTCCCAGCTCGGTTCGCGTTTTTTTGGATGCAACCCCTCCGAGAACTCGGTCGATAACATTTGCGCCGCGGAGGCGCGTGATCCGCGTTAGCGTGGATGGGGAACTGGCTATCGCGGGACAGGGGGAAGCCAGTCGAGCGGAGTCCAGCTGAGCGGAAGTCAAACGAGGGGGACACAAGCGAGCGGAAGCCGGTCGAGCGGAAGCCGGTCGAGCGGAAGCCGGTCGAGCGGAAGCCGATCGAGTGGAAGCCGTTTGAACGGAAGCCATTCGAGTGGGAATTGATTGATAAGCATCCGGTCGGGGGAAGCTCTCGCGGGGATTGGGACAAGGCGTTTGCGCGGAGCCTTCGATCTGCGATCGTTGCGGAGAGCGCGGAGCGGCGCGGGGCGGAGGGGGGACTGGGAGAGGTTGGCCCTGCCCGGATGGCGGAAGCACTCCGCGGTGAGGAAGGGGAAAGGCTAGCGCGCGTGGAGCAGGTGACGGGTATAAGCGGAGGGGAAGGATCGGGGGGCAAGCGCGGGGATGCAGGGGGAGTAATTGACGTGAAAGGCATGTTAGCGGAGGGGGGTGCGGGCGAGGTGAAGGGGGAAGCGGAGGAAACGAGTGGAGTGGCGGAAGCGATGGAGGAGGATGCGGGAGGGGAAGCGGAACGGCCAGCGGGGGGAAGCGCGGGAGCGGAAGAATTGAGGGAGGAGATGATGGTAGAGGCGGGGGTGGAGGGAGCGGGCGGAGCGGAGGAAGCAGGGTGCCCAGAGAAAGCAGGGGGAGCAGAGGGAGCGGAGGGAGCAGGGGCAGACGAGGAGCGGAGTAGAGCGAAGGGCGAGGGGGCTTCTGAGTGTGCGGCGCGGGAGGAGGGGGGCATGGTGGAAGGGGGAGAGGGAGACGAGCAGAACGCGGAGGAAGAACTGCGGGGCGGGCTGCAGGAGGCGCAGCAGGAGCAGCGGCAAGAGGAGCAGCAAGAGGAGCAGCAAGAGGAGCAGCAAGAGGGACAGCAAGAGGGACAGCGAGAGGGAGAGCGAGAGGGACGGCAAGAGGATGCGGGCGCTGCTGGGCTGGTGAATGACGGGTGTGAGGAGGTGATGAGAGACGAGGGAGGCGAGGGGTATGAGGAGAGGACGGCAGGGGTGCGGAATAAGGGTGAAGGGGAGAGGCATGTGGGAGAGAGCGGTGTGGACGAGAGTGGTGTGCGAGAGACCATGCTACTAGGAGAACCAGTGGAGGGAGACATAGCAGGAAGGGAGGCGACGGGAGGAAGCAACAAGGAAGGGGAAGAGGGCCATGATGACGAGAAGGGCGGAGTGGTGGGGAGTGAGGGAGAAAGGGATATGGGGACGGACGGCGAGAAGGAGTTGTCGGTAGCTAAGGTAGAGCATGAGGGAGGTGCTAAGGGGAGGGACGAGAGAGGGGAGGAGCGAGAGGAGGAGGGAAGGGATGGCACAGGGGAGAAGGGAGGGGAGGAGGGAAGGAAGGAGGGGGTAGAGGAGGGAAGGAAAGAGGGAGGGGAGGAGGGAGGGGAGGAGGGAGGGGAGGAGAGACGGGAAGAGGGAGGGGACGAGGACGGCGGGAAAGGAGAAGTGGAGAAGGCAGAAGCGAAGGGAGAGGAGAGGAGGAAGAAGCTGTTGATACTGGATGTGAACGGGCTGCTGGTGGACACGTGCTATGTGCGCGATGGCATTCCACCAGGCCAGCGCCCGCCAGACGGCCGCGCCAACAACTTCCATGGTGCGCGCCGTGCGTGCTCGCAAGGGCCAAGGGCCCCTCAGAGCAGCATCGGCTGCTCGTGCTTGGTGCTCCCTCTGTCGTCATCTCACACCGCACCCTGCCCTCTGCACCCTGCCCTCTGCACCCTGCACCATGCATGCACTCCCAGTGGAAAATTGCTTCATGCTCAGGTTGCGCTCTTAACCAGCCCACCCACTTTCCACCATTGCGATTGAAGCCTTGATGATCTCTGTGCTGGTCTTCTTGCAATACCTGGCCTTCTCCATCCGCCCTCACCTCCCCTTCCCCTCCCAGTTCACCACCTCTCTCTTTCCCCTTCCCTCCTCCCTTCCCCCTCTCTCGCCCACCTCTCGCCCGTCCCCGCATTCCCCTCCCCGCATCCTCCCCCCGTTGCAGTGTACCGGCGGCCGTTCTGTGAGGAGTTTGCGCGCTTCTGCCTGGACAACTTCGTGGTCGCCGTGTGGTCCTCCTCCCGCATGTGGGTTACAGGGGGAGGGGGGGGGGACGGGGGCAGGGGGGGTGCGGGGCAGGGGGCATAGGGGAGGGAGCAGGGAACGGGTGGCAGGGGCCGTTCTGCGAGGAGTTTGTGCGCTTCTGCCTGGACAACTTTGTGGTCGCCGTGTGGTCGTCATCCCGCATGTGGGCATGGGGGCACAGGGCGGGGGGACCAGGGGCAGGGGGCAGGGGACGGGTGGCATGTGGCATGGGGACAGGGAACGGATGGCATGGGGCAGGGGGCATGGGGGCAGGAAGCGTGGCTCATGAGGCATGGCTCATGAGGCATGACGCATGGGGCACCGTCGAGCTTGTTTTGAAATTGAGAAAGTGCGGCAGGATCCTATGAAAATATATAATTGGTGGCCTCCCATGTGTTTGCCCGCCCGTCCTTGCACTTCCGTTGTGTGGCGTCACGTCACCATATGTTTGCATGGATGAATGCATGGCTTTGCTGCCTAGTTTCCAGTCGACTCATGATTCCACTGCATGGTTTCGCTGCCTAATATATCTATTCCACCTGCTACCTCCCTGCTCTGCGGTCATGCGCCGCCCCTTCCCCAACCCTCTGTGCTGTGCTCGTGAATCAACCAGGTACAACGTGTGTGCGCTGCTGGAGTTTGTCTTCCCACAGCAGCACCAGAACGAGATCGCCTTCATCTGGGTATGCACTGTGCACTCTGCACTCTGCACTCTGCACTTTGCACTGTGCACTGTGCAAGCCCCGATGCCCCATGCGCACACGCATCACGTCTGCTCAGCTCACAGTCAATCACATCACATGTGCCCAGGATGCCCTGTGACCGGGGTTCCATCCATGTTCTCATGTTGTGACTCATGACTCTCTTGAAGCCATGCCAGGGTGCTGCTTATCACCATGATGACTCACTCGCCTGTACCTTGCACCACACCACCCGACCCCACCCCACCAGGACCAAGCGCGGTGCACGAACACAGGGCTGAAGCACCCAGCGAACCGCCACAAGCCCATCTTCCTAAAGGAGCTGAGCCATGTGTGGGGCAACGTGCACCAAGACATGCCCTGGCCGCCCAGCACGTACGGCCCCTCCAACACGCTGCTGCTCGATGACTCGCCCTACAAGGCCGTGCTTAACCCGGTCAGTAGTGGTGGAGCGCGGTGAAGAGGAGTGGTTGGACGTGTTGATTCCGCCTGTACCTGCTGCGTTTTCTCTAGTGTTGGCTGGCCTTGCAGCGCGTTCCTCCTCTGCTGCCTCCCCTTCATTGCCTTCTTTTGTTTCTGCGGCTACTGCTGCTCTTTTTGAGGCGCCTCAAGAATTGTTTCTGGGGCGCCTGCTGCTCTTTGTTCTAATGCGTCCACGGTGTAGGAACTGTCACCCTGGTCCTATGTAGGAACTGCCAGTAATGCTTTCCTGTTGCTTTGCTGCTCTGTTGTTGCTGCTGCTTTGTTGCTTCGTTGCAGGAGCACACAGCCATCTTTCCGCAGACCTATCATCTCACTGACACTCTCGACAATGCACTCGGTACCTACCTCTTCCTTCCCTTTTTCTATCCTCGCTCTTGCTCTTCCCATCTGCCAAGCAACATCCACACCTCTTCCTCCTGCTTCATTCCATCATGCCACATACCATCTTTCCCTCCTTTCTCTCCGTTCCCTTCCTTCCCTTTCATACTGCTCTTTTCCCTTGCCGTTCAACGCCCCTCCTCCACCCCGTCTTCCCCATTCCCCCCTTCCCCAGCACCCTCGGGATCTCTCCGAGCATACCTGTCACAGCTGGCAGCAGCAGCGGACGTCCCCACGTTCGTGTGCAGCAACCCCTTGGGCCTGCCTGCCGTCAGAGTCGCTCACTTGCACGACCTGCTGCTTCTTCTCCGCCCGCCGTCCCCTCCCGCACATGCCTCTGCTGCTCCTGCTAGAGGCGCTTCACATCGTGCTTCTGCCCCCTCCCATGCTGCTGCTGCTGCTGCTGCTGTGGGTGCTTCTGGAAAAGGGGGCGGTGGGTTTGGGGGGGATGCAGCTAGGCAGAAGAGGAAAAAGAAGCAGAAGAAGAAGCAGAAGAAAAAGAAACAGAAGAAGCAGAAGGAGGCGTTGGCGCAGCAGCAGGGGGGTGAGAAGGAAGGAGGGGAGGATGAGAGCATGCATGGTTCAAGTGCACTGGGAGGGAGTGCTTCCTTGAATCAGCATGTTGGTGGTGGTGAGGGAGGAGTGGTTGAGGAAACAGCTAGGCGGAAAGTAGAAGTGTCAGAAGGAGAAGAAGAAGATGAAGGAGAGGAGGACGACGAGGAAGAAGAGGAGGATGAGGAGGGGGATGAGGAGGATGGGGAGGAGGAGGAAGAGGAAACTGGTGATGGCGCCGAGGGTGTTGAGAATGCTGCTGGGGCTGGAGCTGCGTCTGTGCCTGTCACTAATGGAGCCCCCACCCCTTCTGCTACTGAGTGGGTCCCAGCGGTACCTGTTACCCACCACAGTCGCTGGGACCAGAAGCAAGGCTCTTTCGCTGCTGCCTCTGCTAATGCTTCTGCTGCTGGTGGTTGCAGTGACTTTGCTGGTCGTGGTGACCTCACCACAGGGCCTATCCGTGGGACTGCGGGTATGGCTGCTACGGCGAACCAGCAGCAGCAGCAGCATTTGCAACACCAGCAGCAGTGGCAGCAGCAATGCAGCGGTGAGTGGAGAGGGAGAGGCAGTGGGTGGGGTGTTCAGCCTGTGAGTGGTTTCGTGGATAGCAAACAAGGTAGGAGCGTTCAGGCTGCTTCGAGGAATGGTGAAACAATTACCCCGTGGAATGCTTGGCAACCGCAGCAACAACAACAGCAGCAGCAGCAGCAGCAGCAGCAGCAGCAGCAGCAGCAGCAGCAGCAGCAGCAGCAGCAGCAATACCCTAATCAGCAGACACAGCAGCAGCAGTATCCCAATCAGCAGCAGTATCTTAATCAGCAGCAGAACCTTCCTCCACCATATGCTACCGCTCCCAACACCTCACCCCCGCCATTCCTCCCTCATGCACCCATGCCTCAACCCCCAAACCAACCACAGCAGGTCCCATCACAGCAACCCCTAGGCCCGCCCCACCCATTCCACCCCCACCCGCTCTCCCTTCCCCACACCCCCACCTTCCCATTCACCCCACCTCACCCTGGGGCCCCACTCATGGCCTTTCCTCCTGGTCAGGCCTACGGGTATGGGCATGGGCAGGGAGGGTATGCGGGAGGGGCAGCAGGGGTAGCAGGAGTTGGTGGGGCCTTGCCTGTTCCCCTGGGATCTGTTACACAGGTGGCAAGTGGTTGGCAGGAGCAGGGTGGATATGGGGCCTTGGGGGTTTGGCAGGGACAGGGGCAGGGACAGGGACAGGGACAGGGACAGGGACAGGGAGGGGGGGGTTGGCAGGGGCAGGAGGCTGGGAGGGGGGGTGGATGGTATGGAGGTGGGCGGAGGGAGGGAGGAGGGCGGGGTGAGAGTCAGGATTACCGGCAGCAGAGGCAGCCGCAGCACCAGAACAGCAGGTGGGACAGGGACAGGGTCAGGGACTGGAGGGGCAATCGGGGTTGAATGTGCAGTGTTACTTTCCCGTACTTATCCCGTTCTTGGGGCTCACTGATACTTGTACCGGTACCGTACCTTACTACGGTACAGCCACACTCTTGTTTGCCAGGGGTAGTAGACAGTATGAAGTTTCATTACCGTACATTTTTTTCCCCACTGCAAGGTGTTTGGAAGGAAAACCCTGTTGAACATTTACTGCCAGGTTAGGCAAATATCAAACCTCAATAGGCAAATATCAAACCTCAATATGCAAACACAATCAAAACTCCTAGTACAGTAGCACCTGTTGTATAAATAAAGCCTAACATTGTGCCAATCAATCAATCCACAACCTGAACGAGCTCAAAGAGCTTTCCCTTGATAGCATCCTCGAGCACTATCATGGGAGTAAGCTCCTTGCCCTCCAACACAGCCAGCAGCATACCCTTGCTGAACCCCGACACCAGCGCCACCCCATCCTCACTCGCAGCCACAGGCGTGCTGCTCGCAGACGCATCCCCCCTCAGGTTCCAGTACACTATCTGCGGCACAGGGTAACCCGCCGCAGTGTATTTGCGCACAATCGCCTCGTGGTCCGTCTCCCAGTCGCCTTCACCAGCCCTGCCTGCTTCGTCAAACTGCATGTCAGAAAACACATACAGGCGCTGCACCATGTCGGCCGGGTCTAGCTGGAACTGCTGCGCGCGGGACAGCAGCAGGTCAAACACCGCCTGGAAGTTGGTGTTGTAGCCCCAGTCCATGTGCTGCGTGCGTCTCACGCGCTCCACCAGCGTCTCTCCCTGCACGCGGTGGATTGTGGGCTGCGCGGAGAAGGAAATGAGGTGGTTCTTCCACGGCTCGCTGCTCACCTCGCTCACGAGCAGCGACAGTGCAATGGCCACCTCCATGGGTATACCTGCCATGCTCCCCGACACATCGCACACCGCCATGCTGTTCCCGAACGACCCCTTGCTGCGCACATCAGCCACCATGGCCTTCCACTGGAGCTCACCCACTGTATCGTCACTATCCCCCACTGATTCCATGGCCGTTTTTACCACTTCATGCGGCAGCAGCGCTCCCGAAGCGATCTTTGCCTCCCCGCCCTTCACATCCTCGAGGTACTCTTTGAACCTCGCCTCGTCATGGGAGAGAAAGAGCTTGCGGCTCTTTTTCATGCACACGGATGGCACGCGCCCGTACGCCACGTGCTCCCACCGCCCGCTGCTCATGTGCACCTCGGGCACCTCCAGCGCTCTCCGCAGCGGCGCCAGCACCTCCCTCTGCAGCCGCTCCTTTGCTGCGCGCACGTACCCCCCCGCGCCCGCTGCTGCTCCACCGTCCACATCCGTCTCGGCATCAGCAGCATCGGATTTAGCGGCAGCAGCAGCAGCAGGAGCGGCAGAGGAAGGAGTGGAAGAGGAGGAGGATTGGGGGAAGAGTTGGAGGGCGATGGAGGAGGTGAGGAGAGTGCAGTGGTCGAACGACTTGCCAGGGGAGGGGGCCCACTTGGCAGCCAGAGACAGCTTCGGCGCCGGCATCCCCATCCACTTGCGCTTCTTCTTGCCACCGCTCTCGCCATCCCCTCCCTTCTCCTCTTTCTCTTCCTTCAGCCCCTCCCCCTCTACCTCCATAGCCTTCTCCCCTGCCTCTGCCTTCTCGTTTTCCTTCTTCAACTTCCCCTCCTCCGACTTCGCCCCTCCCCCCTCTGCGGTCTTCCGCGCGCGCTTCTCTTCAAATGCGCGCATCGTCTCCAGGTCCCCCTTCAGCGCAGCCGCGAAGACGGCCCCCACCGCGTTGTGCAGGGCGCGCAGCCGCTCACTCGACTCGTACGCGTGAGCCACCGCCGCCGCCCTCCGCGCGTGCGCTTCCTTGCGCACAACCGCCGCGCGCTCGCTCTCCTCCGCCATCTGCCGCCTGTTCTCCGCCACCCGCTCCTCACGACTCTTGCCTCCCTTGCCGCCCCTGCTCCCGTTCCTATCGCGCTTCCCCATCATCTTCTTTCCATGATTCGTGCCATTCCAAGGCACCGTACCGTCCTCCATGGCGTCTACGCCTTCCTCCGCCAGAGCGAGCCGCACGATCTCCAGAAGATCCTTGAAGCACCCGAATTCCGGAACCAGCCACAGATTCTGCACGAGGGTCCGCGGGTGGTTTTGGTAAAGCCACGTGACGCAGTGGAAGAAGCTGGAGCGGTCGCTTTTACCCGTGCCGCGCACCGCGCGCAGCTGCATCACGAGCCGCAGCGCCGTGGCTGGGTCGTCCGCCCATGCGGCCTCGAGCCGCCGGTGCGCATCGTCACGCTCGGTCTGCGGCAGCACGTGGAAGAGGAAATCCACGCACGCGCTCCCCGATGACACGTATGTATCCGCGAGGTTCTCCGTGAGGCCCCGCTCCGGCTCGCTTGCAACGGGCTCCGTTTTCATGTCGTCGGTGGCATTGCTGTCTGCGATCTTGGAACGCGTCGCGTGCTCAGATGGCGGAGTTTGAACCTCTGGCAGTTTCTTGGAAGGGTCATCCTCGTTGACTGGACGACGCGCACGCAACTCCTGAAGAAAAGGCAGGGCCGACGCAGGGCACTGTAGCACGTGGCTCGTGTCTACTGGAAGTGGGCCTGGGAGAAAGGTGGCAGCCTCGGCGCCCATGGCCGATATCCGAGGGACTGAAAAATGAAGAGATTTTTGCTCTAGCTTCTAAGTGACGATCGGGAAGAAAACAGCCTCGGAGCGATCTAGAAGGCTCCCTGTTTCGAAAATGTGCATTCCCTAGATTCAGAATGCCGTATTATTTACTCTCGGGAATCGGGATGCTGCGATGGTCGAATTGAAAGGGGATGTGTGTTTGAGTGCTCAGGAAGGCTTGGTCACTGAATTGGGATTGGTCTACACGATGATTGACCAGCCGAACCAAATGCTACCAGGTTTGGACGAATTATTGACAGCACAGAGATTCCGTGAGGCGAGGTTGCTTGAAGATAAGGTTTGGTTCGGTCTGTACGCGTTACACCCTCTGAACCCTGAACAGAGACGTGGCGGACACGCTTTGCTGCCCCTCCCTGTTCGCACGATTTTTTCCTTAGGGGGGCATAGTGAGTCAGCCTCGTACACATGATGCCCGACCAGTGCACGCGAAATTGCCATGCACCGGATAGAAACGCTGCACCCGAGCTGGAAATCCCTGCTTGCTGCTCCCAGTACAAGCACATGGGTGGCTGGCAACAGTACACGCAACTCGGCCATCAATGCACGTTCATTCACGAACAAGCCACGCCAACCCATATTTCCTTTGTTTCTAGGCCAGGAGTCAGGGAAGCGAAATGAATGGACGAAACGACTAGGGTTTCGTGAACGCATTCGCCCATCTGGGCCGCCACCTGAGCAAGGATCATCGTGCGTGTAACAGGCAGTTGGTCAGATTAACCCTGCCACGTGTATATCGGGACCTGCAAGGTACAAGCGCATTACCAGCCAGGCGTTGTTCGCCCGACCCACGTCAGACATTCGAGGGTGTGGTTACCAAACCAGTTGCTAGAAAATGCAAGCCATGTGCATGGAACGAACACCAACCACACAAATGTGACATCCAACAAAGAACAGGCCCCAGCCTTGCCCAGCACGCCCGACCTGTGATGATAAAATGTGTGCAACTAATTCACTAAGTCACCACTGTCTCTCACACCCCGTAGACAACCCCCGTAGACAACCCCCGCCTGCGTCATGTCGACCTGGCGAGGTGGTGTTACTCGCAGTACGGATTGCGCCCAGATCGTTCCACTGTCGGCCGCATCTTGAAGAGCGCCGAGCTATGGGATGTCACGGCAGGTGGCGACAACCAAATGCGCCGTCGAGGTGCCGCATGGCCTGAGCTGGAGCAGGCCATGGCGCGGTGGATCGCAAACGCAGGGCCCGCTGGCGTGCCTCTAACGCTGCAGACCATCCGTGACCATGTCGAGACGATGGCACGGAACATGGGCATTCCGCCCACATTCCGATGCTCCATAGGTTGGGTGCGCCGTGCTTTGAGGCGCCAAGAAGTGAGGTGCCGGGCAGCACAAGGCGAGGCAGCTAGTGCGGACATGGCTGCCGTGCGCCACGCACGTGAGAAGCTGCCGCAACTCCTCACGCATCTCGGTGTCACCCCGCGGGACACGTTCAACATCGATGAAACGGCGCTCTGGCTGTCAGTCCTCCCTCGGTGCACTTACAGCAACGGTCGCATTCCTGGCCGCAAAATTTCGAAGGAGCGGCTCACCGTGGCATTCCTCGTCAATGCTGACGGGAGCCACGTCTTCCGACCGGTCGTTATCAGTAAGGCTAAGCGGCCGCACGACTTCCGCCCGGATTATGACCCGGAGTCCCTTTGCTACTGGCGGCACAACGCCAAAGGCTGGATGACCTCGCCGGTAAGGTCGTCGTGGTTCACGTTTAAACGCGTCCTTGATGCTTCGCACGTATTACGCGTAATAGCACACCTAACTGTAATGTGTTAATGATTTCAAAATTCCCATGTACATTCCGCCTTCCCTCCCATTCCCCTTCATGCAGTTATTCACGCATTTCGTATCGCAGCTCAATGCTGCGATGTACGCCGAAGGTCGCAAGATTTTGGTGCTGCTCGACAACGCGAGCAGCCACATGCTCCGCTCACAGCTCGCATGGAGCGAGATCGTCTGTGGGATGCGGACGACCTGCATGAGCAACGTGCGGCTCGTTTTCTTGCCGCCGAATACCACCGCATTCACACAGCCGCTCGATCAGGGCATCATAGCCACCGTAAAAGCCCGCTACCGACAGCATTGGCTGCGGGCCTTCTCGGCTTTGTGGAACGGCGAGGGCGCGACTACCGCCGTCGCCCGTTTCCGCCCCAACTTGCGCGATGTCCTCGCGTGGCTGTCGGACGCGTGGATGTCTGTCGGCGAGCGCACCATTCAACGGTTCTGGTGGCGCACGGGGTGTCTGCCGCTGTCATGGTCCCTGGAGCTGTCGCATGTACACGACGATGAGCCCACCCGTGCCGTCTACCCCGACATCGAGCTCGATGACGACATCGACGATGTCGGGACTCTCATCAGCGGGCTCGCACTCGGGAATGCGGCGATGACGGCCGCAGAGTACGTCGCCATCGACGACGGTGAGCCGACGAGCGCCGAGGGCGCTGCGGGACAGTGTGCGAATGAGCCAGAGTCGGGCGTAAACGCCGAGCTCTGGCAGGCGCCGACTACCATTCCCGCCGTCTACGACGACGCCGACCCCGTGTGCCGCGAAGCGCGGCGCACTGCCCGGGCGGCATGCGAGATGCTTATAGGATATGCACGGGCCACCCGCATCACGCCGCGCGATCTGTGCCATCTATTCGATATACGCAACCCCATTATAATCGCGCGGATGGAGCGGGCGAGCCCGACGTTCAACCTCAACGTGGCGCCTCAGCCCGTACCCTCCCCGGCCGCAACTCCCACGCCCGAGACCCCTCGTCCGCGCGGCCGTGTGCTGCCCGACTGGATGACCCGCCCGTCTCGCCGTCAGGAGCTGCTTGACGCCGGTGTGGGCGCCGTGATGGACGGGTATGTGGACGCGGCTGAGTGGATGCGTTTGTGAGGGTGGGGGTGGAGCAGACTTCGCAAGGTGTCGAATGCATTTTGATGAGAGCCCAAGTGTTCACTCTTTGTGCACATTTGTGGGTGTTTCGTTTTGTGTGTTGAATGGAGATGAGCTCCCAGGTGGAGGATGTTGATTGGAAGGTGTTTATGTTTTACCTGTTTTGTACTACGAAGAACAATTGTTGTGCATGCTTCTTTCGGTACTGTAGCGTTCGTTTAGTAACCCTAAACACACAACATGGACAAGTGCTGCAACCCCTTACTGTTGCTAATCAGACAAACAGGTTGGTTACCATGATCAGTTTTGAAGCACGCTGGACGCCTGACAAAATTCACGAATGCCCGCGAAATGCAGGTTTAGCTTACAGTCCTAGTTTACAAAGCAACTGGGAAGGGCTCTAACGAGCATCAGGTGTACATCACGCTCACGGCCTCGAGTCTAGTTCAGATCATCAGGTGGCGCCTTCCTATCTTAGCGCTCCTCGTTGCAGATCATACGTTCCGCAATCCCTCGTCAGGTTTGGTGTCGAGTTGTAGCAAAGCTCCAGCATGTCCAGGTCAGACGTGCGACGCTCGATCTGTCTGGCCCAACACTCAGTATTCTCGAAAGCCAATCAGCTCCGTTACATAAGGATTTCGCCTATTTCGTCCTTGCAACGAAATACTTCGTTAAAACCACATCCCTAAATCTTCAACAGCCCATCCTTACACCACCCTGACTCCATCCAGCGAGGTTCTTCCCGAGAGGCAGAGAGAGCAGGAAGCCCATCCAACCCCAACACCATCGCACCGCACGTCCTTCCAATGCCTGGACTTGCTCACTTTCCATTGGCTAGGATCTACCGCGAAACCGACTCGAGTCGCCGTGTTTCGGTTCGAATTGAGGGTTTGCCGTTCCCGCCTGTCGACAACGTTCGCTCGATCGGTCTGATCCCTAGATCCGTTTTGTAGGAAAACGATCCGACGATTCTACCTCATCTGGTCGCTTTTTGTGCTGCCAACGGCCATCTCACCAGAAACCAAGCCCCAAAATACGAAACCTATCGGAGCCGCGTGGCCTAAAACAAGGAGGACCCTCCTTTTTGTCTTCGTTCAGTAACCGTCCAGTGAACCGCGAGGGTTGAGCCCCACACCCCCAGTTCCCCTTGCTCACTTGGGGTTGGCTCTGGAGTTCCCATCACGCCAGGCATTTTCGACCAACGACATTCCAACCAGAAAATTTTCCGAGCGACATTTCGACCTGAGGTTTCTTGGAGAGACATTTCGACGAGGCAGTTTAGGCATTCGCACATTCAACTGAACATTATGCTCCATCCTCTCCAACTCAGAGCTCGCCTCGCCACTTGGACAGGGCAACTGTCCCAGCTCCTTCACACACGCGACAAGCGATCAGCCTTACACGCATCAGAAGGATCAGTTCTTGGGATTGCTGCTGGTTTCGTGCAGCTGCAATGTGTTCCGAGCAGCACTGGTAATTCTTTTATTTTATTCTACCTGCATTTAGCTTACGTTCCGACCTATTTCTCGTCGTTTTTTAGCAAGTTTTTTACATGCGATTTGTTCTCTTACAGGCAATGGAACATCGTCAGTCCGTTATGAATGCCTGCAGTTGCTGACCAACTTCCAACCTCAATGCAGCATCTTCGCCGAAACAACGAAACTCCGCAGTACCACGACGCACTCCCCCGCAAACGGTAATGCGTTTTATCCTTTGGCTACCATTTGCTGGAATTTTCAATCAAGTTTCTGACGGTACGTTCTTTCATTTCGCTTACAGGCAGTTGAGCATCCGAAAGCATGTCAACGTCCGCCATCCAATGTCGACTTCCGCCACAGCTGAGCGATTTGCGACGCGTGCTACATTCGCAACGCAACCACCCACTGCGAGCACGCAACCCCCAAGGTAAATATTGAAACTCATGATTGCTTTCCGTGCATTTCGCGCATTGTTTCTGAAGAACACACGTTTGCGTTATCCAATTCTCACAGATGTTCATGCTGTTGACTTTCAGGTCCGGCAGAACATTGGCCATGCTGAGACGAACACTTGATGGCAGAAACGTGGAGTGGTGAAGTCTATGCGGGGCGTGAAGCAGCATGCGTGCGCGTGTCAACATACATGCCAACCAGACTTCACCTGCCACATAATCAGCTAAGTACTCGCTCCTCCATGCACCCACCCTCGCATCTCACGTCAGCTCTAATGTCATTTTTCTGTCACTTGAAAATCGGGGTCACTGGTGGAAGCACACGAAACAGCCCACAGGCCTCCCTAAATGCAGGTAAAGCCCCCCCCAGGTGAAGCCCTCAGGTAAAGCCCTCCCTGACTGCAGGTAGAAACCGAATCTTAAGTCTGTGGCTTGTGACTGTGCGCCCATCAGTGCCCCTCCTTTCGCTCTTCTTCAATCTACCACGCTTGCATTCTCTTTTACACTGTGCATCCCACTCACTGCCTCTCCTAGTGCACCCTTTTCTTCCCCCTCCCCTCCCCCTCCCCTCCCCCGCTTCCAGGCCTCATCGCGAGCAGCAGTGGCAGGCGGACGTGGGGCAGCAAGCAACCACGTGTGGCTGCATCAGCGTCCCCATCTGCACGCACCCACACAATCAGCTAAGTGCTCGCTCCTTCATGTGTCCGCCCTCGTTTCGTTTTCCTGTCATTTGTATTCAGCTAAGTCATTCACCTCCTTGATCCTTGCCTCTCAAGTGCTTTCGGTTGATTTGAGATTTGCTTCTGTTCTTTCTTCCTTTCTGTCAAATCTCGCCGCTGGTTGGGGCATGACTTGCAAGCCACAGACCTCCCTTTCTTATTCCAGGTAAACCCCTCAGGTTCAGGTTAAGCCCCCCTACAGCCCCTCAGGTCCCCTTGGGGGTCTGTGCCTTGTGCTTGTGCCTCAACCAGTGGCCCCTCCCCTCTCATTTGCCTTGCATGCTCTGCTCTTGCAGTTTCACCCTACGTCCCCTCGCTGCCTACTCACCAGCTCTGCGTGTGTGCCTTGCAGGTGGGGGGGAGGGGTGTGGGATCAGCATCGCCATTCCCTCACGCCTCTCCCCGGTGGCCGTGCAGGGAGGGACGCACACGGGAAGGCGGGGAGGAGGGCTGCCGGGGAAGGAGTCACCTGGTTCTGCTGCAGCTGCCCTCTGCTCGCTCTCACGCCCTAAAGCTTAGTTCCCTCAACCTCTTGCCTGCCTCGCCATGTCTTGTGTACTTTGCTTGCATCTCGTGTTTGCGTGCGCTTTCGCACCTCCCTCTTGAAACAGCGCCACTGGTTGGGACCCCCTCACATGCTGCAGACCCCCTTACTTCAGGTAACCCTCTCAGGTGCAGGTACCCCTCAGGTGCAGCCCTTGGGTCTGTGGTTTGTGACTTGGCCTCCACCAGTGGCCCCTCCCCTCTCCCGCCTTGCAAATGCCGTTCCCTCTCACCATTCCTCCTCTCGCTGCCCACTGACCAGCTCTGCGTGTGCCTTGCAGGTGGAGGGGAGGGGCGGGGGTCAACACCGACGCTTCCCCACGCTCCTCCCCTGTGGCCGTGCAGGTACCTGTGGGGACGGGAGGGAGGCAACACTGCCAGTCGCTGCCGCAAGGGAGAGTATTGGGGTGGGCTTGGCCTCTCAAGGTACGTCACCTCCCCTCTTGCCCTCATCTCGCTCCCTTTCTGCTCCTCAATTTCGCCTTCTCACTTTCTTTAGCTGCAGTCTTTGTTGTTGTTCCTGGTCATGCCAACTCAACTGCTGTTACTTCCTCCCCTGTCTGCTGCCCCTACCAGGTCACTTGGCATCGAGTGAAGACTGAAGCAGAGGAAGCTGAGTAGCAGACCGGCAGCAGCAGCAGCAGCAGCAGCAGCAGCAGCAGCAGCAGCAGCAGCAGTAGCAGTGGGGGGTGGAGGGCTAGAGGGCAGGCTAGGCTAGGTCGAGTCGTGAGCGAGGTGTGGTATGGTATCAGGTGAGGTAACAGGTGAGGTATAGAGATCTGATCCCCTCCTCTCTTCTCTCCCCCCACCCCTTGCAGCCTGAGAGGGGGAGGGAGCACTGGAGCATGAGCATGAGCATGTTTGTGCCTGCACCTGCTGCGTTCTCTAGTGTTGGCTGGCCTTGCAGCGCGTTCCTCCTCTGCTGCCTCCCCTTCATTGCCTTCTTTTGTTTCTGCGGCTACTGCTGCTCTTTTTGAGGCGCCTCAAGAATTGTTTCTGGGGCGCCTGCTGCTCTTTGTTCTAATGCGTCCACGGTGTAGGAACTGTCACCCTGGTCCTATGTAGGAACTGCCAGTAATGCTTTCCTGTTGCTTTGCTGCTCTGTTGTTGCTGCTGCTTTGTTGCTTCGTTGCAGGAGCACACAGCCATCTTTCCGCAGACCTATCATCTCACTGACACTCTCGACAATGCACTCGGTACCTACCTCTTCCTTCCCTTTTTCTATCCTCGCTCTTGCTCTTCCCATCTGCCAAGCAACATCCACACCTCTTCCTCCTGCTTCATTCCATCATGCCACATACCATCTTTCCCTCCTTTCTCTCCGTTCCCTTCCTTCCCTTTCATACTGCTCTTTTCCCTTGCCGTTCAACGCCCCTCCTCCACCCCGTCTTCCCCATTCCCCCCTTCCCCAGCACCCTCGGGATCTCTCCGAGCATACCTGTCACAGCTGGCAGCAGCAGCGGACGTCCCCACGTTCGTGTGCAGCAACCCCTTGGGCCTGCCTGCCGTCAGAGTCGCTCACTTGCACGACCTGCTGCTTCTTCTCCGCCCGCCGTCCCCTCCCGCACATGCCTCTGCTGCTCCTGCTAGAGGCGCTTCACATCGTGCTTCTGCCCCCTCCCATGCTGCTGCTGCTGCTGCTGCTGTGGGTGCTTCTGGAAGAGGGGGCGGTGGGTTTGGGGGGGATGCAGCTGGGCAGAAGAGGAAAAAGAAGCAGAAGAAAAAGAACAAAAAAATGAAACAGAAGAAGCAGAACGAAGCGTTGGGGCAGCAGGGGGGTGAGAAGGAAGGAGGAGAGGATCAGAGCATGCATGGTTCAAGTGCTCTGGAAGGGAGTGATGGAGGCGTGGTTGAGGAAACAGCTAGGCGGAAAGTAGAAGTGTCAGAAGGAGAAGAAGAAGATGAAGGAGAGGAGGACGACGAGGAAGAAGAGGAGGATGAGGAGGGGGATGAGGAGGATGGGGAGGAGGAGGAAGAGGAAACTGGCGATGGCGCCGAGGGTGTTGAGAATGCTGCTGGGGCTGGAGCTGCGTCTGTGCCTGTCACTAATGGAGCTCCCACCCCTTCCTCTTCTTAGTGGGTTCCAGCGGCGTCTGTTACCCACCACAGTCGCTGGGACCAGAAGCAAGGCTCTTTCGCTGCTGCCTCTGCTCATGCTTCTGCTGCTGGTGGCGGTAGTGACTTTGCTGGTCGTGGCGGTGACTTCCCTACAGGGCCTATCCGTGGGACTGCGGGTATGGCTGCTCCAGAGAACCAGCAGCAGAAGCAACAGCAGCAGCAGTGGCAGCAGCAACGCAGTGGTGAGTGGAGAGGGAGAGGCAGGAGTTGGGATGCTCAGCCTGTGAGTGGTTTCGTGGATAGCAAGCAAAGTAGGAGCGTTCAGGCTGCTTCAAGGACTGGTGAAACAACTACCCCATGGAATGCTTGGCAACAGCAGCAATACCCTAATCAGCATTCGCAGCAGCAGCAGTATTCTAATCAGCAGCAGCCACCGCAGCAGCAGTATACGAATCAGCAGCAGAACCTTCCACCACCATATGCTGCCGCTCCTAACACCTCACCCCCGCCATTCCTCTCTCATACACCCATGCCGCAACCCCCAAACCAACCACAGCAGGTCCCATCACAGCAACCCCTAGGCCCGCCCCACCCATTCCACCCCCAGCCGCCTTCACTTCCCAGCACCCCAACCTTCCCATTTACCCCATTTCAACCCAGGTCCCCCGTCGTGCCCTTCTCTCTCGGGCAGGGCTATGGCTATGGCTATGGGCAGGGAGGGTATGCGGGAGGGGCAGCAGGGGTTGCAGGAGTTGGTGGGGCATTGCCTGCTCCCCCTGGTTCGATTCCACAGGGCTCAGGTGGTTGGCAGGAGCAGGGTGGATATGGGGCCTTGGGGGTTTGGCAGGGGCAGGGACAGGGGCAGGGAGTGGGAGGGGGAGAGTGGCAAGGGCAGGAGGCTGGGCGGACGGGTGGATGGTATGGAGGTGGGCGGAGGGGGGGAGGAGGGAGGGGTGAGAGGCAGAATTACTGGCAGCAGAGGCAGCCGCAGCAGCAGAATGGCGGGTGGGACGGGGACAGTGACAGGAGGGGCAGCCGGGGTTGATTGTGCTGTGTGACTTGGCCAGATCTTGTGGCTTCTGATCTTGTGACTTGACAGTATACTCTTGCCATGGGCGGAAGTTTGATAAGCATTTGAAATCGTAAAATACAGTACAAGGTACCCCTACATTGTGCTACTGTGGTACCTAGTCGAACAGCAACAAGCAAACAAAACAAGCAGACAAAACACGAGCTGATCAATCCACAACCTGAACAAGTTCAAAGAGCTTTCCCTTAATAGCCTCCTCCAGCACTGTCATGGGAGAAAGCTCCTTGCCCTCCAACACCGTCAGCAGCATCCCCTTGCTGAATCCCGACACCAGCGCCACCCCCTCCTCACTCGCAGCCACAGGCGTGCTGCTCGCAGACGCATCCCCCCTCAGGTTCCAGTACACTATCTGCGGCACAGGGTAACCAGCTGCAGTGTACTTGCGCACGATCGCCTGGTGGTCCGTCTCCCAGCCACGGTCTCTGCCTCTGATTCCCCCACTGGGCCCACGTGCTTCATCAAACTGCATGTCAGAAAACACGTAGAGGCGCTGCACCATGTCGGCCGGGCCTAATTCGAACTGCTGCGCGCGGGACAGCAGCAGGTCAAACACCGCCTGGAAGTTGGTGTTGTAGCCCCAGGCCATGCCCTGTGTGCTGCTCACGCGCTCCACCAGGGTCTCGCCCTGCACGTGGTGGATCCTCGGCTGCGCGGAGAAGGTAATGAGGTGGTTCTTCCACGGCTCGCTGCTCACCTCGCTCACGAGCAGCGACAGCGCAATTGCCACCTCCATGGGTATACCCTCCATGCTCCCCGACACATCGCACACCGCCATGCTGTTCCCGAGCGACCCCTTGCTGCGCACATCAGCCACCATAGCCTTCCACTGCAGCTCTCCCACTGTATCAACTCTATCCCCCGCTGCTGCCATGGCCGTTTTCACCACTTCATGCGGCAGCAGCGCTCCCGAAGCGATCTTTGCCTCCCCGCCCTTCACATCCTCGAGGTACTTCTTGAAGCGCGCCTCGTCGTGGGAGAGGAAGCGCTTGCGGGTGTTCTTCATGCACACGGACGGCACGCGCCCGTACGCCACGTGCTCCCACCGCCCGCTGCTCATGTGCACCTCGGGCACCTCCAGCGCTCTCCGCAGCGGCGCCAGCACCTCCCTCTGCAGCCTCTCCTTCGCCACTCGCACGTACCCTCCCCCCCCGCCTGCTGCTGCTCCACCGTCCACATCCATTTCAGATTCAGTAGCAGCAGCAGCAGCAGCAGCAGCAGCAGCAGCAGCGGAAGAGGGGGAAGAGGAGGAGGGGGGGAAGAGGTGGAGGGCGATGGAGGAGGTGAGCAATGTGCAGTGATCGAACGACTTGCCAGGGGAGGGCGCCCACTTGGCTGCCAGAGAGAGCTTCGGGGCTGGCATCCCCATCCACTTGCGCTTCTTCTTGCCCTTGCCACCGCTCTCTTCCTTCACCCCCTCCCCGGTCTTCCGCGCGCGCCCCTCTTCGAACGCGCGCATAGTCTCCAGGTCCGCCTTCAGCGCAGCCGCGAAGATCGCCGCCACCGCGTTGTGCACGGCGCGCAGCCGCTCGCTCATCTCGTACGCGTGCACCACCGCCGCCGCCCTCCGCGCGAGCGCTTCCTTGCGCACCACCGCCGCGCGCTCGCTCTCCTCCGCCATCTGCCGCCTGTTCTCCGCCACCCGCTTCTCCCGAATCTTCTGCTTTTCCCCGCCTCCTTTGCCGCCCCTGCTCCCGTTCCCGCCGCGCTTCTTCATCAACTTCTTTCCCTTTTTCTTGCCATTCCAAGCCACCGTTTCGTCCTCCACGACGTCATCCACCCGCTTCTCCCGTCTCTTCTGCTTTCTGCTCCCGTTCCAGTCGCGCTTCTTCATCATTTTATTTCCCTTATTCGCGCCATTCCAAGCCACCGCACCGTACTCCATGCGGTCTGCGCCTTCCACCGCCAAAGCGAGCCGCACGATCTCCAGAAGATCTTTGAAACACCCAAATTCCGGAACCAGCCACAGATTTTGCACGAGCGTCCGCGGGTGGTCTTGGTAAAGCCACGTGACGCAGTGGAAGAAGCTGGAGCGGTCGCTTTTGCCCGTGCCGCGCACCGCGCGCAGCTGCATCACCAGTCGCAGCGCCGTGGCTGGATCCTCTGCCCACGCAGCCGCGAGCCGCCGCTGCGCATCGTCGCGCTCGGTCAGCGGCAGCACGTGGAAGAGGAAATCCACGCACGCGCTCCCCGATGACACGTATGTATCCGCGAGGTTCTCGGTGAGACCCCGCTCCGGCTCGCTTGCGACACACTCCATCTTCACGTCCGCGACCGTGGAACGCGTGGCGTGCTCAGAGGACGGAGTCTGAACCTCTGGCAGTTTCTTGAAAGGGTCATTTTCGTTGACCGGATGACGCGAACGCAGCTCCTGAAGAAAAGGAAGGGCCGACGCAGGGCACTGTAGCACGTGGCTCGTGTCTAATGGAAGTGCGCCTGGAAGAAAGGTGTCGGCCTCAGTCCCCATGGCTGATTTTCGTGGGACTGAAAAAAAAAAAAGAGAAAGTGGCTGTAGCTTCTGTGTGTGAGTCGAGCAATGCCGTGAATAATCGGTGAGATGTCGAAAGTAATGCCGTGAATTCTACTCTGGGAATGCTATGAATTTGTACATTCGTTTTGCACACGGAGTGGAAGACATGGGAGGTGGGAGTGGCACTGGGGGGCGAATTGAAAGCCTAGTTTGCCTTGCGTTCGGTATGCGTGCTCTGGAAGGCTTGGCTCGGCTTGACTCCCTCCCCCTTGGTCCGCATTGACCAGCCGAAACGCGGATTGGGCTGGACAGATTTCCCAGGGCAGGTTGCTTGAAGATCAGGCTAGGTTGGGTACGCGTCATACCCTGAATCCTGGACCGAGTCGTCGCGAACACGTGAAACTGCTGCTGTCTTCGTTTCAAGCAATATATATTTTCTCCCAGGCATTGAACAAAAGGTACCAATATTGTACCAATATTTTATCATTCAAGTGCTCTTCTTCATGCTCTATTTTCACCAAAGACAATAATTGAAACAATAATATCGATTTTTGGTTTCAAAATCTCCAGTAATATTGCAGCATGCATGTCTGTATGTAAGTCTCACAAGAAATGTAAGTAGGTTTCAAGGATGAAATAAACAAAAGAATAATGTAATAGTTTTCTCACAGGATCGCATGTGGTGTACCCCGAGGCACCGAACTGAATCCGCTGCAATGCACATCCGCTAGAGCACCACCCAGCGACACCATGATCCAAAATCCAGCAGCGCTGCTTCCACTGACACCCGCACCGCACCTCCCTCCCGCCAGATCTGCCACCACTAGCCAGCAAGCCATTCCTTCTCATCCTACTTTCGCCACTAATATCCGCTGCGCTTCGGCCCGCCGCGACCCCCTGCGCGCAAATAAGTACCCTCGCCTCGCCTCGCCTCGCCTTCTTCCTCTCTCCATTGCTCACCGCACACGCCACGCCACTCAATGCCAGCCCAAGGCGAACCTGCAGACCTCCCTGTCTCTTCCCCTAGCTCTGGGTTAGCATCAGCTAGGCGTCTGCTCTTGCTTAGGCGTCCTGCTCAGCTGTCCGTCCGTCTGCCTGCATCTGTCCGTCCGTCCGTCTGAGGTCTGCAGTGTGATCGCCCTGGCTGTGCACTCATGCTCATGCTCGTGCTCATGCTCATGCTCATGCTCATGCTCATGCTCGTGCTCATGCTCATGCTCATGCTCGTGCTCATGCTCATGCTCGTGCTCATGCTCATGCTCATGCTCATGCTCATGCTCGTGCTCATGCTCATGCTCATGCTCATGCTCATGCTCATGCTCATGCTCGTGCTCATGCTCATGCCCACATCACGCACGCAATACCAATTTCAACCCTCACTCCTCACTCCCACCCACCTCCTGTTTCGGGACTTCAGCTCATTCCGCCACGCCCTCCACTCCTCCTCCTCCCTCTCCGTCCTACCCGCCCTCACCGCTCTTCCTGCCAGGCCAGCGCAAGGCGAGCAGCAAGCGAGGGGAGGGCAGCAGGCGAGAGGAGGCGATGGGAGCGCCAAGGGCGGGCAGCAGGGCAGCAGTGTCGGCCTCATCAACGGTCGAGGTTGCAAGTATCGCCCCTGCCACCACACTCCACAAGGGCCCCACTCCCCCCCAGTTCAGGTGCAGGTTCAGGTGCAGGCGCAGGTGCAGGTGCAGGTTGGTAGGGGCTCTTGTGTGGCTGTGGGCGGCATCACATGCACCGTCGCTTCTGCACTCGCACTGTTGTCACGCGCTCTTCTCACTTGCAAGGGCCGCTCCCTCCCGCCTGTCATGTACTCATTCTCTCTCTCTCTCCCTTCTCTGCCTCGCAGGTCCTTCCCTTCAAGCCTTACGCCCACTCTGCATCAACGCACCCCCTCCGTCTGCACCACCACGCCTCCAACTTTCAGCTAAGTGACTCGCCTCCTTGATGCTTACCTCCAATTCCCCTTGAATTCTGTTTCATTCATTCTTTCCTGCTGTTAAATCTCGCCGCTGGCTGGGGCATGACTTGCAAGCCACAGACCTCCCTTTTCTTATTCCAGGTAAACCCCTCAGGTTCAGGTTAAGCCCCCCTACAGCCCTACAGCCCCTCAGGTCCCCTTGGGGGTCTGTGCCTTGTGCTTGTGCCTCAACCAGTGGCCCCTCTCCTTTCATTTGTCTTGCATGCTCTGCTCTTGCAGTTTCACCCTACGTCCCCTCGCTGCCTACTCACCAGCTCTGCGTGTGTGCCTTGCAGGTGGGGGGGAGGGGTGTGGGGTCAGCATCGCCATTCCCTCACGCCTCTCCCCGGTGGCCGTGCAGGGAGGGACGCACACGGGAAGGCTGGGAGGAGGGCTGCCGGGGAAGGAGTCACCTGGTGCTGCTGCAGCTGCCCTCTGCTCGCTCTCACGCCTTACAGCTAAGTTCCCTCAACCCCTTGCCTGCCTCGCCATGTCTTGTGTACTTTGCTTGCATCTCGTGTTTGCATGCGCTTTCGCACCTTCCTCTTGAAACAGCGCCACTGGTTGGGACCCCCTCACATGCTGCAGACCCCCTTACTTCAGGTAACCCTCTCAGGTGCAGGTACCCCCTCAGGTGCAGGTGTGCAGGTACCCCCTCAGGTGCAGCCCTTGGGTCTGCAGTTTGTGACTTGGCCTCCACCAGTGGCCCCTCCCCTCTCCCGCCTTGCAAATGCCGTTCCCTCGCTTGCACTTTCACCATTCATCCCCTCGCTGCCCACTGACCAGCTCTTCGTGTGTGCCTTGCAGGTGGAGGGGAGGGGCGGGGGTCAACACTGGCGCTTCCCCACGCTCCTCCCCTGTGGCCGTGCAGGTACCTGTGGGGACGGGAGGGAGGCAACACTGCCAGTCACTGCCGCAAGGGAGAGTATCGGGGTGGGCTTGGCCTCTCAAGGTACGTCACCTCCCCTCTTGCCCTCATCTCGCTCCCTTTCTGCTCCTCAATTTCGCCTTCTCACTTTCTTTAGCTGCAGTCTTTGTTGTTGTTCCTGGTCATGCCAACTCAACTGCTGTTACTTCCCCCCCTGTCTGCTGCCCCTACCAGGTCACTTGGCATCGAGTGAAGACTGAAGCAGAGGAAGCTGAGTAGCAGACCGGCAGCAGCAGTTGCAGCAGCAGCAGCAGCAGCAGCAGCAGCAGCAGCAGCACCAGTGGGGGGTGGAGGGCTAGAGGGCAGGTTAGGCTAGGTTGAGTCGTGAGCAAGGTGTGGTATGGTATCAGGTGAGGTAACAGGTGAGGTATAGAGATCTGATCCCCTCCTCTCTTCTCTCCCCCCACCCCTTGCAGCCTGAGAGGGGGAGGGAGCACTGGAGCATGAGCATGAGCATGTTTGTGCCTGCACCTGCTGCGTTCTCTAGTGTTGGCTGGCCTTGCAGCGCGTTCCTCCTCTGCTGCCTCCCCTTCATTGCCTTCTTTTGTTTCTGCGGCTACTGCTGCTCTTTTTGAGGCGCCTCAAGAATTGTTTCTGGGGCGCCTGCTGCTCTTTGTTCTAATGCGTCCACGGTGTAGGAACTGTCACCCTGGTCCTATGTAGGAACTGCCAGTAATGCTTTCCTGTTGCTTTGCTGCTCTGTTGTTGCTGCTGCTTTGTTGCTTCGTTGCAGGAGCACACAGCCATCTTTCCGCAGACCTATCATCTCACTGACACTCTCGACAATGCACTCGGTACCTACCTCTTCCTTCCCTTTTTCTATCCTCGCTCTTGCTCTTCCCATCTGCCAAGCAACATCCACACCTCTTCCTCCTGCTTCATTCCATCATGCCACATACCATCTTTCCCTCCTTTCTCTCCGTTCCCTTCCTTCCCTTTCATACTGCTCTTTTCCCTTGCCGTTCAACGCCCCTCCTCCACCCCGTCTTCCCCATTCCCCCCTTCCCCAGCACCCTCGGGATCTCTCCGAGCATACCTGTCACAGCTGGCAGCAGCAGCGGACGTCCCCACGTTTGTGTGCAGCAACCCCTTGGGCCTGCCTGCCGTCAGAGTCGCTCACTTGCACGACCTGCTGCTTCTTCTCCGCCCGCCGTCCCCTCCCGCACATGCCTCTGCTGCTCCTGCTAGAGGCGCTTCACATCGTGCTTCTGCCCCCTCCCATGCTGCTGCTGCTGCTGCTGCTGTGGGTGCTTCTGGAAAAGGGGGCGGTGGGTTTGGGGGGGATGCAGCTAGGCAGAAGAGGAAAAAGAAGCAGAAGAAGAAGCAGAAGAAAAAGAAACAGAAGAAGCAGAAGGAGGCGTTGGCGCAGCAGCAGGGGGGTGAGAAGGAAGGAGGGGAGGATGAGAGCATGCATGGTTCAAGTGCACTGGGAGGGAGTGCTTCCTTGAATCAGCATGTTGGTGGTGGTGAGGGAGGAGTGGTTGAGGAAACAGCTAGGCGGAAAGTAGAAGTGTCAGAAGGAGAAGAAGAAGATGAAGGAGAGGAGGACGACGAGGAAGAAGAGGAGGGTGAGGAGGGGGATGAGGAGGATGGGGAGGAGGAGGAAGAGGAAACTGGTGATGGCGCCGAGGGTGTTGAGAATGCTGCTGGGGCTGGAGCTGCGTCTGTGCCTGTCCAAGTGCCATGACCAGCCTGATCGGTCTTGGAGTGTGGTATGAGAATCCACATGACCTCGTCGTCGAATTGGATGTCTTGCCATTTTATGGCTGCCAGGTCCGAATATCGCAGGAATCCTGAGTACATGAGGATGGGGATCAACCCTTTCTGAAACGTCGCTGGATCGTCGGATTGTAAGTAATTCGCGGCCATGTCCCGGACTTGTTGGATCGATACGGGTTCCTTCATACGAGTAGGGCGAGGGCAGTGTCGTTTTGCACAGTCACGGACTTGGGTGGTGAACGGTCCGGTTGTCGGGCATTTGTTCCCAGTCATGCGATGAGCGAAGCTGACCGCCGAGCTCGTCAGCTGCACTACGGACAGGGTGGCTTTGCGTCGGATTGCGTGTACCAGGTAGAGCGCGAGGGTCATGTCGGATGCCGGAAGAAATGGGAGGTTCACTTTTGTGCAGAAGGCTCGAAACTTGGCCCAGTATGGTTCGTATGTCCGGATCGTAGAATCGGCGCGAGATTGCGCGAGCATGTTGATCATTTGGTCGTGTAACTTTGGGAGCAAATCTGAACACAGGGCGCTGATGTTTTGAATTAGTCAAATGCCATTCTCAGTGCAATAATTGGGCTGTGCGGTAGTCCCATGCCTGAGAAAGCATTGGAATGGGACCCTGCGTCTAGGCATTGGCTTCCGTGTGCCAGAGGGATGTGCGCGTGGATGTGTGGAGCCCAAGTGCATGGGGAGGGTTGCAAAAGTGGCCACCAGCTTGCGCCTGGCCAGTGCGGAACTATCAGTGTGAGTGATGCATGGGTGCGTTGTGCGTGATGGAGGACGGCTGGGACCAGTTGGGGCGGGGGGAAGGCGAAGTTGTTTTCGGGTGTCCACGCGATCGAGAACGCATCAACTGCGATAGCTTCTGGGTGGGGAATCTTTGTGCAGAAGCGCGGCAGTCGGGTGTTGCGGGAGTTTGCGAAGAGGTCGATGGAGTGGGGCCCCCAACGACGTTCCAAGATGCGGAACCACGGCGTTTTCAACGCGTAATCGTCGTGGTCGACCATTTTTGAAAGTTCGTCGGCGTGTGTATTGAGCTCGCGCGGAATCCATTCGATGATCAAGCGCGTGCCAAGCTCCATGCATGTTCGGATGATGCTCTTGCATGCCGTTGCGAGGTCGGGGCTGTGAGAGCCGCCTTTTCGAAGGATGAAGAACACACCCTGGTTGTCCACCCACACGAGAACGTGTTTTTGCTTGATGTTGGTCGCGTATGTTTGGAGCGCCCAAAGGACGCCTTCGATCTCGCGTCGCGTGCTGGACGTTCCTTGTAGCGGCTCTGACATGGTTGCGCTAGCTTCTTCGAGGCCGCCCGAAAATGTGGTCAGAGTGGCGCCCCAACCATGAGAGCTGGCATCCACATGGATTACTGCGTCGTAGCTGTTCCTGACGTGAAAAGGTGCGCCGTTGAAACGGTCAAATTCCTCGAGCCAAAATTGGAGCTCCTCTGCTGGAGATGGGGGGATAACCACGCTGCTTTTCCATGACGGTGCTTCGTTGATCACTTGTAACATAGCGTGCCTGAATGCGCGAGCGGTCGCGCCAAGTGCGACACCCATCGATGCAAGCATGCCAGTGATTCTGGCCACGTGGCGGACCGGGACTGGTCGGCATGCCCTGCTTGCGCTCAGGAGGTTCCGGATGGTTGCATGTAGTGAGGCTCATCGGTCGGGACCGATGGAGAATCGGCCGGTGTCGGTCTCCAGTTCTACGCCCAGGAATCGGAGATGTTGCGATGGTGACAGTTGTGATTTCTTCGCGTTTATCACAAGGCCTGCCTCTTTGAGGTCCAATATCACCTGCTGGCAGATTGCTTGCGCACCGGCTTTCGGCTGGCAGAGGAATAAGATGTCATCCACGTAAGGTACGACTCGGATGCCTTGTTCTCGCCAACGCCGAGCTAGTTGCTTGATGAGCTGTGTAAAGACGAATGGAGCTGTCGCGAGGCCGAATGGTAGTGAACGAAATGCGTATGTGCGCCTATCGAATTCGAAGCCAAGGAACTTCCAGCACGATGGGTGGATGTCGATGTGATGGTAACCAGCTTTGAGGTCAATGGAGAACATCCAGTCCCCAACGCGCGCCAGGTCGGCGACACGGCTGAGCCCCTCGTACTTGAACTTGGGGACAATCAAGTTAGCGTTGACCTTTCTCAGATCAAGAATGAGCCTGCATTTGTCTTTTTGCTCGACCACGTTAAGTGGACTTATGCACTTGAGCTCTGTTGCGGCCATCGGAACTGCCGCTTTCGTCTCTATGAGTTCTTGGATGGCGGTACGTGTGAACGTAGCATGCGTGTTTGCCCCGACATGATTGCGATCGTGGAAAGGTTGTGGTGGGCCGTGGCTCCATGGCAACCAGTAACCCTTGGCGATGACGGAGAGAACGAGGTTGCTGGGGCACCATGAGCTCCACCACGCAAAGGTCGCGCGAAGACGACCGCGCATGTGTGTAATAGTTCTGTCTGTAACGGCAAATTCGTACGGGTCATCGTAGCATGCCGCCTCGCACCGTCGTGCTCCTGTGCATGGGAGGCCAAGTGGTATACGGGTTGAGTATTCCATGTTAAAGCATGTGTGTGCATGTACATGTACGGGCAACCATTGATCAAATGTGTGAAGAAAATAACAACCGACGGAAATGTCAACGAATGTGTCGGGCGCGAAACGGCGCTTCTTCTTCTCCTCGTTTCCTCCTTTCTTTTTTTTTTCTTTTTTTTTTTTCGGCCCAGCGTGCACTCGGTAGGATGTGGTTGTGCCTGCCCTTAGTGCATGGGAGATGATGCCTATGGCCATGGACACACTTGTCCATTGTGTTTCTCTTATTCTCTCTTGTTCTCTCTTTCTCTTTCTCTCTTTCTCTCTCCCACTCTCTCTCTCTCTCTCTCTCTCTCTCTCTCTCTCTCTCTCTCTCTCTCGCTCTCTCCCTCTCCCTCTCTCTTTCATGCTCTCTCTTACTCGTAGTTCATGGGGGCTGGTGCGTAGAATCCTGGACATGCGTGCCCACCATGTTGTATCTCGCTCTTTCTCTTTCTCTCTCACTTTCTCCCCCTCTCTCTCTCTCTCGCTCTCTCTCGCGCGCACACACACACACTCTCTCTCTCTCTCTGATCCTCCTCTTGATTGTTTCAGAGTCTCTTTGCCAAAACAGTAGGCCTTTAAGAAGGTAGTTTTTTTTTTTTTTTTTTTTTTAATCAAATCAACCAACACACATAGCAATGCTCTCCTAGCATGCATCATGCTACCGAGCGGTAAACCACATGGGACTGAGGGGGTTGTTGCTCCCCTTCCCTATCCTAGGCCCAGAGCCTATTCCTACCCTTCACTAGGGCTGGCCTCTTGCCATCGCAAACCCCTAGGGTTGCCCACGGTTTTCGCACTCAAAAGTGCACCGTGCCTAGCACTCAAGCGCCTATTCCTATGGCCCGCTCCTACACCACCGGAGCGGGTCCTTGGCCGCCGTGCCCGTTCCTAGGGCAGGCACTTGCCACGTGGCCCGGCTGGCCGCAGCGGAAGCACGAGCCCCGAAACCCGCGACAATTGGCCGTGGGCGGGGGCCCCGCTTGGGTAAAAACGGCAACGGCGCGTTGTTTCCGCCGCGGTTGGCACGAGCATATCCGCTTGCCGCACGGTCCATTGCCGCCATGTCTGCGACCGCCTGCTTGAAGGGTCGAGAAGTCAGCAGGCTCTTCTGCTGGTATAACTTGAAGCGCTTCGCCGTGCGGAAGTCGGATGCGTCCTCCACTTGAAGCACCTCGAAACGCCCCGAGATGAGGTTGAGAGCGTGCGAGATGAGTTCGAGCCCGCCCGCTGGGTCTCCGCGCTGCGCCTTGTATTCCGCGTCCAGCAGGTACGCGCGCAAGTCCTCCAGCAGCTCCGCTTGCTCTCGCACGGAGTCGTTGACGAATGTTGCCGCCGAAAAGGTGAGGCTAGAAGAAGGGAGGGGGGGAAGGTGTTCCGTGCCATTAAAATTAACATTGTTGACTGGAGCCTCACCGGCTTCATCTTCAGAGTCGTCGGTGTCGTTGTCGACCGCTGGAGCGGGGGGTGCTGCTGCTGCTGCGTCATTGTCGTGCCGAATGGTCCTTGCTCCTCTCGCGCCTTTTTCCTTTTTTGCATTTTCTTTTTTAGCCGACGCAGATGCAGCGGGTAGTGCAGTTTCCGCGGTTGTAACGCTGACGGGCTGCTGCTGTAGAAGGGAAAGCAGCGCGTTGACCTGGTCCGGGGTCAACGCCTGCGTCAACGCAGGGGCGGTCGTCGCGTCAGACGAGGAGACCGCCGTCCGCCTCCTCTGGCGCTGATGCGACGGTCCAGCCGCGGGTGCTTGCGTGTGCTCGGCGTCAGTGGCGTGTGCCACGCTCGCGGCCGTCGCCACTTGCGCCGCAGGTGCCACTGGCGCCACAGGCACCTCAGGCGCCACTGGCGCCGAAGGGTGCTGCTGGGCGTTGGCCGAGTTGTTGACCTCGAGCTCGCCCAGCAGCACGTCCACTGCAGTCGGGGTGGGCGGTCCATCTTCTGCCCGTCGCTTGTTACGGCGTTCGCCCGCCAAATCGCGGGTGTTACGGTCGTTGTCGGAGGCGGGGTTGGACGAGTTCCCGTTGTTAAGTGTCGGCGTCGGTGCCATCGTTGAGCGATTGAAGTTAAAAATATCGTTGAGTAAGGTCGAAGGTGACTCGCCTCTAGGAAGCGATTTTGTTCTAGCCAGCTTGGACGGAGGGATAAACTACGTGAGCATAAGTGTTGAGTGAGCCGTTTGAAAATCGAGAAACGTGGGTGGAGGGAAATGAACTCCAACCCACGGTTTTTGTAGTTGGAGAAGGGCGTTTAGCGCGCTTCGACGATGCCAATTGTGCAGTACAAGCAGCTTCGCTTTCACAATACACAATTTTAAAGAACACAATGTGTGTTTAAAAATTATAATTTTTAGGATGCTATGGTGTGCCATTGCATGGTTTTGTATGCCATGGTA